CACCCCCTGGGGCCCCCTCTTCAGCCTTTTCTGTTGACCACCCTCCATAAGGACCCAGTGCACACATTCCTTGCCCCAGGCACCCCCCGGAGATCTGCAGACCTGGATGTGCAGCCTTGCTTCAAAAGACCCTGGGGCAGTTAATACACCTCTTCAACCTTCAGTTTCCACCGCTGAGAAGTGGAGATAATGGTCTTACTAAATGTGCAGATAATGATCGGGATTATTAGGTCTACCCAAACTTCTGCCCAGGCCTGTTTCTGGAGCTGGAGCTACAAAAGGTGGCCAAAACCACCAAATCTGCTTCTCAGGGAGACTATGATAGACTAAAGAGGGGACCAGAAGGGGTGAGACTCGGGGTCTCCTCTGCAGGGGAATGCTAGTGCTGTGGGTCCCCTCACACCCCCAAGGCTTTCCTTACAGGAAGTTGTCCCTGACTCACTTCGCCTGTGATCTCCTCGGCACTCCTAGCAACCCTCAGGTGGCCCCAATAAAACTTCAGATGTCCCTGAGCACACAACTGTTCTGCATCCTTTCTCAAGTCTTCTGTACCCCATTCAGACATCCCAATAATAACCCATAACCTGTCCCCTCTTCCCCAGTAATTTCAACATTAACCCGTTAGAAAGTCTCATTATCCTCCGGCTCCTTTGACCTCGATAATGGCCCTGTCTCACTCCATGCCTTCCAAAGAGCCCGTGTCACTTCAATAATTGTCAGGGATCACTTCTGACAATCCCAGTAACCAGCCTGTAACATGGACCACAACCTCCTGGAGCCCTCCAATTCTGCTAGACACCCCCTCTCCGCCCCCAAACGTCTCTCTCATGAGTTCCCCGTGACCGCCCCAGACACCCTGTCGGGGATGACGCGCTACCCCGCGACATTCCCAGCCCTGATGTGACCCCCTTGGACAGCTCCCACTGGCCCTACGGCCTCCCTGCGCCCTCTGAATTAGTCCGACACCCCACAAAGTCTATCTCGTACAGGGTATCCCCAGACACGCTGAGGAAAACCCATATGCCACCTCGCGAGATCCACAGTCCCCCAGGCCGCCCTCGGATAGCCCCCGGTGACCCTATGACCTCCCTGCACCCTGCGCCCTCGGGGCCCGGCCAGTCGGCGCTCACCAACGGCGCCAGTGATCGTGGTGCTGGCGTAGGCCTTGCGGTGACACTCGGTGCCGTCAGGGATGTCCCAGTACCGCCGAATCAGCCGCGCCATGGCTGCGACCCCGAGCCCCGCGCTCCACAGCCGGCAGTAACCAGGGCCAAGGGCAGCCGCCGCTCGCTATCGCGAGACTTCCGGGGAGGCGCGCGCAGCACCCCTGGCGGACAGGCCCGCAACAAGCAATGCAACTTTATTGAGTGCCGCGGCCATGGACACGAACTGCGCGCACGCGCCGAGCTCGGGACAGCCGTAAAGGAAGGGCTCGTGCCCCGCCCCCACCCCGGGAGATTTCTGGAGGGGAAAGGCGAGGCCAGCCAGGATCAGTGAGGTCGGAGCTCCCTATTTCTAGCTCAGCAGGCCCTAGGTTAGGAATGGTCTGACTCCCGAGGGTGGGACCCACCATAGGGGCCGGACTAACATAGGCGCTAAGATTAGGACGCGAGTGGGACGGGACTGACTTTGACTGGAGCAAGAGGTAATTATGGGGCGGGACGTAGCGAAAATGTGGCCACTTGCTGCGTCAGAATCTGCCTAGGGGCGTGGTCACGCACTGAGGCCTGTCCCCCCGCAGGAATCGGAACCGCGTGCAACTATTTTGGGGCGTGGCCGGGGTCCAGAGCGGGCTTGAGGGGGAAGTGACTGACCCTCGTACTAAGATCTTAGAAGGACATGGCCTGTGCCCAGCTGGCGGCTGGCCCGAGACCTGTGTCGGATGGAGTACGCAGTACGCTTGGGGACGAGGCGAGGACCAGAGACAGAGCCTGCGGGGGGCTGGACCAATCCGGAGCCGTACGATTGCCCAAGGGGCGTGGACTTGCCCAATCCAGTGGTTTTTGAGAAGCGCAACCGACGTGGTCAGACTTGCTCGGTCGCGGAACCCGGACCAATCGCGATGTTACCTCCTGAGCCGAGTAACCAATGGCGTTGCCAGAGCCCGAATGGGCCGTGCTGCCGGAGAACAGGCCCGGGCCAGGGGCGGAGTTCTGGGGTTCCGGGACCAATCAAGGTGTTTGGGCTCGGGCCCTACCCAGTCTGCTGCGGCCAATCGCCCGGTGGTCCCGCGTGGGCCTTTGGGGCGTGGCCCACAGGGGTAGCGCGGGTTTCGGGCGGCCCAGGGGCGTGGCCAGGCCTGGACCGCCGCCGGGGCCATGTCCGCGCCGCCGCCCCTGCAGATCCGCGAGGCAAACGCGCACCTGGTGGCCGTCCACCGGCGCGCGGCGGAGCTGGAGGCGCGGCTGGACGCGGCGGAGCGCACGGTGCGCTCCCAGGCCGAGCGCCTGGCCCGCCACGACGAGCAGCTGCGCGCTGCCCTGGACGAGCTGGGCCGCGCCAAGGACCGGTGAGGCCCGGGGCCCGCCAGGCGAACTTCTAGGAGGTGGGCGGAGGCAGAGCCGAGATCGGAAAGGGAGCGCTGGCAGGGGAACCGAATTCATGCACTGGAGGCTGTACTACCGGAGGGGTTGAAAAAAGAAACACCAAAAATTTTGAATTAGTCATCAGCGTGTAAGATTTGTCACACAAGTGTGTGGATTTTTTAACTTAAAAGTTCCCCACAAAGTAAAAACAGCTGGTACAGAGAGTCCACCGACTTCTTTGAGTAGATTTTGGGAGCCATGGCAGGTTCTTGAACAGAAGAGGATGTGATATTGTTGTGCCCAAGTATCATCAACCCCAAAGACTATATCAGAAATTTATGTTTTGTTCTTTTTTTATTTTTTGGTAATCCGCACCCGAGGATATTTTCCCATTTATTTTTAGAGAGAGAGTGGAAGGGAAGGGGGAGAGACAGAGAGGAACATCAATGTGAGACATAGCAATTGGTTTCCTCTCGCAGGTGCCCCAATGAGGGCTGGGGCTCCAGCCTGCAACTAAGGTATATGCCCTTGACCTTGACTGGAATTGAACCCAGGACCCGTTAGTCCGCGGGCCAATGCTCAATCCACTGAGCCAAACCACCTATGGCTACCAGAAGGTTTTTTTTTTTTTTTTTTAAATATATAATCAATATTTTAAAATAATAAATCAATATTTTTATTGATTTCAGAGAGGAATAGAAACATCAACGATGAGAGAGCACTGATTGGCTGCCTCCTGCACGCCCCCTACTGGGAGTCAAGCCCACAATCCGGGTATATGCCCTTACCCAGAAATGAACCCTGGGACCATTCAGTCCACATGCCCACGCTCTATCCACTGAGCAAAACCAACTAGGATCATTATAAGTTTTTGGAGAGTCCCTCTAGCACCTGAGAATTGGAAGGTCTGAGACAAGTGCTCAGGGGGAGATACTGAGGCCCAGGTGAGAAACAATTCAGAGCTGGATTAATTCATCTTTACTAATTAATTCACCTACAATGTGCCAGACACTGTGCTGGGTAGCAGGACACATCTCACAGCTCTGCCCTTAGGCAGACACATCACTAGGCAGTTACAACATGGGGTGATGAGAGGTTGTGAAGGAGGTACACACATGGTTCTGAGGAGATCCAGAGGGAATGCTTCCTGGAGGAGGAGCCTACTAAGCTGAACAACAAACAGGAAAAGAAGTAGGGAAAGAGGGAACTGCAGGAAGAGCTAGGAGGAGACATGAGTCTGTTCAGCTGGGTGGCTTAAACAATAGGCATTTATCGCCGTTCTGGAGGCTGAGAAGTCCAAGATCAAGGTACTGGCAAATTCAGTTCCTGGTGAGGACTGACTTCTGGTCATCTCATTGTGTCCTCACCGAGGAGAGGGAGAAAGCTGCCTGGTATCTCTTCTTACAAGAGCACTACCATCATGAGGCTCCCATCCTCATGATCTCATCTAACCTTAGCTTCCAAAGGCCCACACCTTCAAATATCACACTGGGATGTAGGGATTCAATTTATGAACTTGGGAAGGACATAACCAGTCAGTCAAGGGGAGGCCGTGAGGCAGTGGTGAGGGATAAGCCCTTTATCCTGATGATGGGGAGCCTGAGATCAGAAGGGACAGGAGCATCTCTGGCCCTTCAGTACTGTTACTACCGAGTTCTGTCTTCCTGCCAGCGAGATCACCGCTCTGCAGGAGCAGCTGCTGACCTCCGAGGCCACTGTCCACAGCCTGCAGGCGGCCGTGCACCAGAGGGACAAGCTCATCAGGCAGCTGCAGCCCCGGGCCGAGCTGCTGCAGGACATATGCCGCCAGCGACCACCCCTGGCTGGGCTGCTGGCAGCCCTTGCTGAGGCCGAGCGCCTGGGTCCCCTACCAGCCAGTGACCCTGGCCACCCACACTCTGGAGCACCCAGTTTGCTCCTTGCCAACAGCACTGAGGAGGAAGGGGACAGAGACCACCTCCAGCCAGCAGTGTTTGGGACCACTGTGTGAGCCCCAGAGCACAGATACCAGAACGGAGACAGAGGGTCTTGTGGAGACTTTCCCTACTGCTGTGGGGGTACTCAAGGGTGGGGGTGTCACCAGTGTCCCAGGGGGAACCAACCCCATGGCAGAGCCATAATACTTTCCAAGCATCAGAAAAAGTCTAATGGTCAGCCTGCAGGCAAAGAAAATGTTTAGTCCAAATCTTCTTAAAAACAAAACTTTGAACCACTTATCCTTGTTGAAAAATTGGCAACATTTACACACAAAAACCTGGATTTCTGGCTTCAGATTTGGCCTTGCCTGCCTGGAACTGAACCCATAAGTCTCTCTAGCCACAGTGTGAATTTTTTAATTAGCCCCTTCACGTCTCTTAGGGCCAGATGTCCGGGCCCCAAAGCATGAGTTTGAGACCTCTCTCTAGTGGAGACAGATGGCATCAAGTTCCAAATTATTAATTTCTTCTCCCCTTCTCCCTCCCGTCCAGATTTTCTTTCATCCTGAAGCATCACTTATCACACGATAGAGCTTTTTCTTACTCCATCCCAAACCAGAATTATTTTTATTATTTCCCAACCCAAGGACATACCTATTGATGTTCTAGAGGAAGGGAGACAGTGAAATATTGATGTGAGAGAAAAACATCCATTGGTTTTCCCGTATGCACTCTGATGGGATTGAACCCACAACCTCGGTCTGTGCTGAGGGGAATTAAGCCTGCAACTTTTGGTGCATGGGACAAGGCTCTAGTTGAGCCATATTGCCCCCAGACTAGAATTAAGAGCTTCAAGCTTCATGCTGTTTTGCATTAATTACTTTGAAGACAAATCCTAGACATTTCCCTGCTAACTCTGTCCTTCCCTCAACCTTTAACTCAAGGCAGTGTGAGTAGGGCACGGGAGATGCTGGCAGCCAGACTGTGCTGTCCTGGAAAACCCACACCTCCCTTAACCTTTTCTTGATAATGTGCTGCCTCAAGGCCTTTACACTGGCTGCTCCCTCTGTCTAGAATGCTCTTCCCCAGGTGTCACATGACGGGTTCCTTGTCACTCGGGTCTTTGCTCAAATTTCACCTCAGAAAGGCCTCTTACTACCTGAAGTAATTCCTCCCTACCCCTGCCATTACCATTGCATTTCTTTTTTCTTTAAAAATATATTTTTATTGATTTCAGAGAGGAAGGAAGAGGGAGAGAGAAACATCAATGATGAGAGAATCATTGATCAGTTGCCTCCTACACACTCTATGAGGGATCGAGCTGGAAGCCTGGACTTGTGCCCTTGACTGGAATCGAACCCAGACCCTTTAGTCCACAGGCCAAGCCTCTATCCAGAGCCAAGCCTGCCAGGGCTATTTTTTTTTGTTTTGTTATAGCTCTTACCACCAGTGTGTGAGCTGCATGAAGGCAGAGCCTCTGTTCTACACGGATACTCCTGTAGGAACAGGTTGGGTCTGTGGGCCCTGAGGGGAGTTGAGAGTTCCCAGCACTTCAGATAAAACCCCTCCAGTCTAGCTTTTGTAGTAAGCAGCTGGTTCCTAGATATTTTATAGTCCCTAAAGAATCTATTTTTTAACTCCTTTTTCTACACTGCGCTCTTGGCCAGAGCCATTCAGGGAGTGTTGCTTATCAAACCAGGGAACCTTGGGCTCTCCTCAGCCCAGTCCGGGCTGTTTCCCACCTCCTTACTCAGGAAACTGTCATACCGGGAACTGCTGTGGGCAGGGCCTATTCCAACTAGAAAGGTTGGCACCCATCCCGTCCTCAGGATGCTGCCTGTTGTCTGCCTGGCATCTAACACTGACCCCTCAGTATATAACAATATCCCCATTTTCTCCTCTGGATGAATAAGGGGGGCTGTTTGTATTAGGGAAGGCAGGCTGGGGCCTGTGTGAGCTCAAGAATAAATAGGGTGGTTTGTCAGCCTGGTCCTTCCTCATTTTTTCCAGGTGTGGGGGCTGGAGAGGTGGCCACTGTGTGGTTCCTGGTCTAGGTTGGTCCCTGCTGGGTGAGGGCTTGTTTCAGTCACAGGAGCTTGTACCACAGGCGCTTTACACACACAACTATGTCTAATTTTTGTTTGCAGCCGCCTGTGGACACAGGCTGCCCCATTTCACAGCTGGGAGACTAAAGGTGAAGTGAAAAGGCCTCTGGGTCAGGAGGGCCTGGACTCCTACCCATTTTTGGAAGTTATTGTTGAAATTCTGATTCTCTTACAGATGTCAAACAGAGGTACACTAATTGTGGTTAGATTTTACATTTTCCATAGGGAAAAAACTGATGCAACACACTAAAAAACACAATGCGGTATTTCTTTGACTGCCCAAAGAATGCTGGACTGCAGCGAGCCAGTGAGCTGTGACATCAGCTGTGGCTTAAATTGCAGCGCTGGGTCAGGAATTCCTAACCACACACCACTGTGCTGAGTGCAAGGCCTGGAGGTCCCCAAAGCAAGGGGGGGGGGGGGGGGGGGGGCGGCGGCGGCACATTTTTTGGTTAATCCCATCTTTGAGGCTATTTTTTCCATTGAATTTTTTTTTTTTAGAGAGTGAGAGGGAGGGGGAAAGAAGCATCGATGTGAGAGACACATTGATTGGTTGCCCCTTGCACATGCCCCAACTGGGGCCAGGATGGAACCTGCAACCCAGGAATGTGCCCTTGACAGGTAATTGAACTCATGACCCTTCGTTTTGTGGGCTGACTCTAACCACGGAGCCACACCAGCCAGGGCGAGGGCCCACATTTTAAGTCCTTGGGAGTCCCAACGTCCTTTTGGATCCTGCTGGTTGGTGTCATGCTCTGTTGGCAACGATGTCCAAAATCTGGATTGAAGACCTTCTGTGATGGTGGCCTTGGTTCCTCCTGGATTATGTCAGGTCAGGAGCATTTCTCTATTTGGTACCGCAGCCTCCTGGCTCACCAGCTTGTCCACGAGCAAGCCCACCAAGTGATGTTTGAGAACTGAAAACCAACCACCTAAAGACCCATACAGCAAAAACACCATGACTGGCCCCTTAATAACTACAGGAACTGCTTTGTCCAACTTAAGTGCTGGGTCCTGACTCAGCTAGCACTGGTCTCAGGACCTCCCATTGGACATGGGTTGGGCCACCACCAGTGCTTTTAAACTCAAATCCCTCAGCAGCTTTGGCTGCTGCCCTGTGAAAGGGATAGGGGACAGTACAGTCCAGAGAGGAGGGGCTCTGTCTCAGGTCACACAGGAATTGGGCCTTCAGCCTCCCTCCATCCAGGACATGGTGGTCCTTGCAGGCCTGTGGCCTGCCCCTCATTGTGGTCAGAAAGACTCCACCTCCCACCCTGGTCTGGGCCTGGCTCTGTCCCAGGCCTGAGCATTGCAGGGCAGGGAGTGAGCAGCACAGTGGGTGGAGGGGCTGCCAATGAACCAGCACTGCTGTTCCTCCTGGTCCTGCCATTCGGCACAGTCAGGGTTACAGCTGGGGCCCCTCCCAGTCTCCAGAGCCACTGTCCCTTAGCAACAATCCTACCGGGCAGAACGCACTGCCAACACAGGACAAATCAGGCAGGAGCCAGTGGAGTGGCCATCGAGGACTTCAGGACATACAAGGCCAGGTGAGTGAGTAGGGGGTACCCAGCTTGTAGCCTGGCCAGCCAAGCAGGAAACCCACTTGACCTCTATCTCATCCAGCTGCCCAGAGAGCCTGAACCTAACATGGATACGGTGGACGCCACTGTGAAGAGGCTCCGGGAACAGTGCCTGTCCCGAGGGGCCTCTGGCATCCAGGGCCTTGCCAGGTGAGCTGTTCCCGCACCTGTTCCTGACCACCTGGCCCCAGGGAGATCACTCTTCAACTGTGACCCTTGCCCCTAGGTTTTTCCGCCGCCTGGACCGGGACAGGAGCCGATCCCTGGATGCGAGGGAGCTTCAGCAGGGCTTGGCGGAGCTGGGGCTGGCGCTGGACATGGCTGAGGCAGAGGGTGTGTGCAGGCGATGGGACCGTGACGGCAGCGGGACGCTGGACCTGGAGGAGTTCCTGAGGGCACTCCGTGTAAGGCTGGCTGACTGGGACCAGTCCCTTCACCCACCTGTCTGGCAAGGAGGATGGGGGAAGGGGTGTGCTAAACTCCTGTGTCAGCAGACACCAGACACCCAGTAATTCATCACTAAGAGACTCAGCGATCCCCTGCGCTCTGCACTCTATGCCTAGAGGGGTTGGGGTCTCTTAGTCATCACTCTCCCTCTTTCAGCCCCCCATGTCCCAGGCCCGGGAGGCGGTCATTGCAGCTGCATTCTCCAAGCTGGACCGCAGTGGAGATGGTGTGGTGACCATGGATGACCTTCGGGGGGTGTATAGCTGCCACGCTCACCCCAAGGTGCAAAGCGGGGAGTGGACTGAGGAGGAGGTGCTCCGCCGCTTCCTGGACAACTTTGATTCCTCTGAGAAGGACGGGCAGGTAGGTGACGCCTATGGGGTCTCCCCAGCTCCTCCTGCCCTAGATTTCCATCCCTACTTAGAGCCCGTCTGCCCCCAGGTCACCCTGGCTGAGTTCCAGGACTACTACAGTGGTGTGAGCGCCTCCATGGACACGGATGAGGAGTTTGTGGCCATGATGACCAGCGCCTGGCGACTGTGAGCAGCATGCACTCAGCTGGCCCCACTGTAGCATAGGACTCCACCAGGGCACCCTGTGAGCTTCCAGCTGGGCAGCCCCAGGGGTGGGGGCTATAGGGGAGCGGGAGGATTAAGGCTGCAGAACTGGTTGGACCAGGTCTGAGGCCCTTGATTGGCCAACAGGACAAAGTGGGACAAAGCCTCCCTCCTTCTCCCCCATGAGGCCACTGCAGATGCCCACCCACCCCTCACCCCATTCTGCTCAGTTAATCCTTGACTCTTAGAATTCCCACCCTGCCCCTCCCTCATGGTTCCTGGGAAGCCAGGAGGCCCTGGATGTGATAAGGGTGTGGGGAGAGCAGCAAATGGCTCTTCTGTGAAGCCAGGCTCTGCACTGAGATCCAGTGACCCTTTTCAGAGTGTGGGGCAGGGGCCCAGGGCAGCAGGCAGGCCAGGCTGCTGGAGGAGCCTTACCTTGGGAGGCAGAAGTCATTCCTGGCCAGGGCCTCGGGCTTCCTGAGGCCCCTGGGGCTCACAGGAGGCCAGGGCTTTAGTTAAAAGTTTTAATGTAGTCCCCAAATACATTTCATATGACAATCTTACATAAATGTTCCAAAACACATGGGCATTATCTGGTTTTACTTGTCACTAGTTGGCTAAGGCTTAAAGCAGAGAAATGTAGCCAGATCTGCTGGGGGTCGGAAGAGGGGTGGTGAGGGAAGGGCTGTGGTGTCTTCCCATGGCTTAGGCTCAAGCTGCAAAGTCAACCCAAGGTGTGGGTGGCACAGCTATGGAGACCAAGCCTTCTCCCTCCCACTGAGTGGGCTGGGTAATTTCTTCTAAAATCCCCTGGGGCCCTGTGAGTAGGGACCTTTTTTGCAAGGGGGGGCAGTGCCCAGCTGGGATCTTGGACTTCTCTGGGGTGGGCAAAGCACCCGCTCCCATGTGTGCTGCGAGTGTTGGGACAGCAGACTGTAGTCTGGAACCAGTCCCCTGCCACTCCTCAGAGGCCCTGCGAGGGACCCCCCCATCTGCCTGTTATTGAGGGCCCTGGCCCTGCATGGTCTTGGGGGCGGTGACATCCAGGGCTGGGCAAGGAATGGCCAACAGCAGAAAGCAAGTGTGTGCCTGTGTGTCTGATGATAGGTGACACACATGATGGGGACAAGCAAGAGGGGAGGGGCGCTATGCACACCCCCTTCTTTGTCAGCTACTGTGGGAAACAGTGGCCTCACTGTCAAGTCCCCACTCTGGAAGGCACCTCATCCAATAGGGCCAGGCCTCCACACCAAGACATCACCCTCTAGGCAACGGGAATGGATGAGAGGGGACCTCAGAAACCAGCCCCCTTGTACCCTCCTAGATCCAGTGACCCTTTCCTAGATAAGCTCTCTCTAGTTGTGAGGCCTAGCCATCAACACTCCTTCATAGCTTGGAGGAGCCCCAGGTGGGGAACAAGTGGGCGCCTTCAAGCACCTCAAGCTCCCAGTAAGGCCCCTACACACAAGCCATGGCCATAGGGAGAACGAGGACGTTGGAACTGTGCCTGCTCAACACACAGGAGCATCTTAATCTAAGAAACCAAAAACAAAGACTCGGGGAAAGAAACCTAAAGACATATACCCCAAGTCAGAAGGTGGGGAAGGGGAGGTAAAGATAGTAGCAGAATATCCAGCAGGGCCAGTGTTTAACTTGTGGGAGCAGACCTGGTAGCCTGGCAGGTGGCAGGAACCCACGGGTATGGCGGCGGCATGAGGTGAAGAAACCAGGCATCCCAGTCCCAGTGAGAAGCCGTGACAAGTCTTAATGTGCCATTTCAATTCAAAGGAGGGAGGGAAGAAATGTTCTTTTTGTTTTGCTCATCAATATGATGAGGTCTCGTGTCCCAAACCACATTCAAGCAGTTCCCAAGTCTGCTTCTGAACGGGCCTTGCGGATCCGGACTGTGGCCAACCCGGCGGGGAGTGTGGTTCCCGGGGCCCCGCACCTCGACAAAGCCGGAGAGGGGCGGGCGGGTGGGTGGACAGACGGACAAAGCAGCAGGCTCCCGGGTGGCCAACTCCCGGCGCTATGTGCTCCCAGCTGTCTGCCCGTCCCCTTCGTTGTCAGCGCCTGTGGGAAGCAGTGGCCTCGCCATCAGGTCCCCGCTCTGGAAGGCACCCCAGCCCCCGGGGTCAGGCTTCCACACCAAGATGTCACCCTCAGGCCAACGGCAATGGATGAGAGGGGATCTAGGAAACCAGCCCCCTTGCGCCCTCCAGGGCAGGGACTGCTGGCTCACCGCCTCCTGTGGCCCCTGACGGAGCTAGGACGTCGTCATCGTCACTGTCATCCTCATTGGATGGGGCCACCCCAGGCTCGGGTGCAGGTGTTCTGGTCTCCTGTTCCTGCTCCACGCGGCTGCGCAGGGCCAGGATGCGGTGGTGCAGAGCGGCATATAGCTGGCCCGTGTCCTTGGAGCTGGCCTGGGGGAGGCAGAGGAAGTCCTGATTATAAGGCTTCATGGGGAAACAGCTCCTTGGACTCTCCTCAACCTGGGACCCAGACCAAAGCTCCCACAGCCCGGGGCCCACCCCTCCAAGTGCTCCCAGAGCCTGTGGCTGGGCCAGCCCTCAAGTGACAGTGGCATTCCTGCCTCTTACTTTGGGGATGGGTCCCACTTAGAGGCCTCCTTGCTCTCTAGGCCATGCTCTCAGAGCAGTGCTGAGTGCTCCCCACAGCTGTGTGGTGACTGACAGCACGTGCCAAGAAACCTCCCTCCTGTGGCAGCTCGGGGTTGTTGCCCTGGTCTAGGGGAGGGGGCCTGTTTGGGTTCAGGCAGCCCAGCCTGTCCGGGTGGCTGCTCACCGAGATCAGGAAGACCTTCACGCCCTGGTCCTCGGTATCCATGGCTGTGATGCGAATGCTCTTCTCACTGGCCTTGTCAATCTGCATTTGGGCCCACAGCTTGGTGTTGAGGATCAGTCGCAAGCTACCCTGGGTCCGCATCACTGCAACCAACAAGGCCACTCAGCCCTGGTTCCCACCCCCAGCCCAACAACCAGCTAGAACAGACACAACCTGGAAGGAAAGCATACCCAAACGGTGAAATCCCATGACTCTCCCAAGGTCCACAAAAGTTGTCCACCTGTCCACTGAGCAATAGCCACACATGTTGGGGCTGGCCTGGCACCACCACCTGGCTTTCTGGGCCCAGAACCACCAACGCCACTGGCGGTGTCAGAGGCCACATGTAAGCGAATTTTGTCGGTCCACACACCATGAGAGCCTTCCTTGGGGAAGTGGGTGATTAGGTAGAAGCAGAACTGCAGGGGGGTGGGGCCAGATAGGGGCTGCACACTGGGGACACTCACACTTCATTTTTTAGTTTCAATTAATTGTTTTAATCCCACCAACAATAAACTTTGAAAACAAAAGCACTTTTATTCCTTAATTAGGTATGCTTCCCATCTGTGGTCTCCAAGTTTCTGCTTCTCGATTTAACTTTGTCCTCCGCCCCCGCAGCTCACCCCTCCCTACTCTGCAAGGCCCTTCAGGTTCGGTGGCCACCTCTGCCCCGTGGCACTGTGGGCCTGGCCCAGCGCTCCCTGATGTTCACACTAGCGGTGGGCTTCCTGGAGGGGCTCTTGGGCCTCACTCCCGACCCACCCCCTGAACAATCTTGCCCCAGGCTGGTGCCCAGGGTGCAGAGCTGAAGAGTAGAACTAGGGAGGCGCTTTCTGTTTACCTTTTATGGCTAAAATAACAACTTAGCCAAGAAGCGACTTCATGAAGAAGCTTAGTGAAATCGACACACGTGTCACATAAAAGTCAACACCGCTTCACTGTCCCCCACTCACAGGCCAAGTCCCTGAGGTTTTCTTAGAAAAAGGATTGAGGCTAGCTTGTGCTCAGAGCTTCCAGCAGAAAGGAGATAAAGACAGACTGAAGGAAGCATATGGCAAAGAAAAACTGGGTACAGACCTTTCCTCTCTGGATGTACCTGCAGCAGACCCAATGCCACAGTCAGCCTGCCCAATGTGTCAGAGCCCACCCAGCCAGCCTTGCTCTCCCATTAAACAGGCCTGGTGAGGATTAAAAGGTGTCATCCCATCCAGATGGTCACACAGGATGGGGAGCGGCTTGGGCCGACTTGGGGAGGCCTGTGGGGTCCCTGTGTCCTCTAAATCCGACCTCACAAGCCCAAAGGGCTCATCTTTGAGGCAGTGGAGCAGTTCAGATGGGCTCAGAGGGAAGGTCTGTGACAAGGTAAAAGGCTGTGTGGGGTGAAAGTAAAGGTCCTGGGATGGAACGCAATGAGGGAGGGGAGGGTGTAATGTAACCATGCTGCTGCCTGAGGAGGTGGGTGATGAGCTGTGGGGCTGAAAATACTGTGTTCTCTCTGTCTACATACATTTGAACATTTCCCTAAGAAAAAATGAAAAAGGAAGGGAGGGGACGTGCACGGGAGAAAAAGAATGGTGCCCAAATAGAAGGGCCCTTTTCATCCCTGTTCCAATCTCTGAGACAATTCTGAAAAGATGCAACGTAAGCTACTACTGGGTCATGAATAGCTGTTTCTGTAAAGGCTGGAGGACAATTTTTGTGTGGGAAGAAAACAACAAAAAAAGTGAACATACATATTTCACAACATAGACAAATGAACATGCTGATTCTCTTCAAACATGCATATATGTATATACACCCCCTCAACCCAATTTTGTAATCAACATACTTCTGGGAATAAGATTCAAGTGTAGACAGCCCAGGACCACCATTTATGATACTCAGAAAAATTATGGACAAACTACATGTCCATCAATATGGAAATGGTGACATATTAATACATTCATTTTTCAACAGAATATATTAGTTTTCCCAAAGTCATGTTTTTAAGGAAAATTTAATGACACAGGAACATACTCACAAAATAGTGAAAAGAACAGAATATAAAATTGACCCATTTCCTTAAGAAAAAAAACAGAACAGGAGTGGACCAACATATTAGCAGAGATTTCTCTTTATCAGGAGATTAGTTGATTTTTTCTTTTTCCATCCTACCATAAAACAACAGACACTTTCATGACCAGAAGACAAGTTTAAAAATTGCTAAATACTTTTATCCCACTTTCACATTCAGAAAGAGGGAGGTCATGGAAGTCTGGCAGCTGGATCCTCCCGGTCAGGCCTCAGGGTGTGGGTCCCTGGGCTCTTCCGTGAGGACCTGCTGCCCTGCTCCTTGGGGCAAGGGGCCAAGTTGGGACCTTGCCCTTTACTGCCTTGGGAATGCTGCACCAGTCCAGGCCCTCCCACAGCTCACCTAGTCGGGACTGTAATGTCCCATCGTCAGCCGAAGCCATGTCGTTGAGTCTCAGCAGTCCCCGGCCTCTCTCCACCCAAGACTGCGAGGTCTTGTCAAAGACAAACAGCTTACACTGGATCTGGAACACAGGGCAGCCCTCTGGGTGAGCAAGGGGCCCTAGCTGGGTAGATGCCACTAGGGGGGGTATCTATAGAAGCCTCCATTTAATTCTCATGTACTACCAGGGTCAACAAACTACGGGCCCACATCTGACCGTTGGACAGTTTTCTGTTCTGCCTTCAAACTAAAGTGGATTTTATACTTTTAGAGGTATATTTAAAAAAATTAAGGAAATGAAAGTCAAAACCATGAGACATCACTTCACATCCACTAGGATGGCTACAACCAAAAAGACAGATAATAGGCGCTGGAGAGGATGTGGCATCCCTGTTGGCATCTGAAGCCTCATCAGTTCCTCAAAATGCTAAATATGGCCCTAGGCAATGTGGCTCAGTTAGCTGGAACATCATTCTATACACTGAACAGTCACAGGTTCGATTCCTGGTCATGGCTAGGCTGAGGGTCTGATCCCCAGTTGGAGCGTGTGTAGAAGGCGACCTTCTTTCTCACATCGATGTTTCTCTCTTTCTCTCTTCCTTCCCTTCTCTCTCTCTAAATAAATAAATAAACAAACAAATAAATAAAATACAAATAAAATAAATGAAAAACTTCCTTGGGTGAAGGTTAAAAAAAAAAAAAAGTTGCCCTGGCTAGTGTGGCTCAGTTGGTTGAGGTTATCCCATGCACTGAGAAGTTGCTCGTTCTGTTCCCCATCAGGCACATGCCTAGGTTGCGGGCTTGATCCCCAGTAGGGGGCATGTAGGAGGCAGCCAATGGATGGTTCTCTCTCATTGATGTTTCTCTCATATTTAAAACTATAGGAAAAAAATTAAACATGAAGTGACTACATGGCCCCGCAATGCCTCTTCTTAGTATCCACCCAAGAGAGGTGAGAGAGGTTTTCACACAAGAACTTGCCCACAAATGTTCATAGCAGCAGAATTCTATAATAGTTAAAAAGTGGAAACAACTCAAATGTCCATCAACGCAAGGGAATATTATTGAGCTATGAAAAGGAGTGAAGCACTGACACACTATAACATGGATGGACCTTGAATACATGCTTGGAGAATGCGGGTTGACAACTTGGGGACTGGACCCTCAAATGCACAAAGAAGCTCCGGGCCTTCACCTAAGTGCCAAGAGGCCCACCTTACCTGTAACACGTTGCTCTCTGCTTCCTCCCCGGTGATGACTTCCACTTTTTCCAACAAACATTTCCTCGCTGTTGCCTTAGTGTAGGCGGCTGCCGATTCGGCCAGCGACTCTGCAATGTTATTAGCTAAACGACATTGACTATTTACTTGGTGGGGGAGAGTGTACTGCACAGGAGACAAAAGGGCTGGCTTGGAGTGGACCCTAAAATATGCCAAGTAGTTCAGCCTTGGGATCTGTAAGGGAGGCCAGCTGGGAGCTGCTGGCATGGCTCTGGGTTTCCCACTTCCCATTCAGTAGGGGACAAACCTCAGAGGGCACTGAAGAAAAACTCCCTTTGCTGTTCAGGGTGTGAAGGGAAAGGGCTACAACCACCTCAACCACCCTACCCCCAAGTCACCATTCAGCACCATGGGCCTGTGCCTATTTATAGATGAACATGTCTCCTTTCTGTTCACTGAAAACCAGTGCCCCTGGCTTTCTGGCTCTGTCCCAGTGGCTGGTTCACGAGTTTATTATTGCTGTGTTGAGTTGATCCCTATATCCCTCCCAGGCTGAGGTGTGGATGGACAGTGTCTGTCACTTGGTACACTCTCCTATGAGGCAATAGGATTGCGACATACCTTTCTCAGGGGTGGCCTCCTGGGATGAAGACTCAGACCCAGACTCGACAGCTGAGTTCTCCCTGTTGGCATCTGAAGTGACCTCATTTAATTTGGGTGGGCTCTGCAGGGAAACAAAGGCACATGGGAAAGGCATCAGGCCGATCCTGGCAGGTCAACCACTATGGAACAGTAAGTCCCTTGGCCCGGCAGCAGCTCTTGGAACTTCCCTGTGAGCAGAAGGCTGCTTTCTGCCTACAGCTCCTCCTCTGCAGCTTTGGGGACACTCCTAGACCTGCAGACAGACCTACATAGCCCTTCCCCAGGGGATATATCCCAGCCATACTCCCCACACTCCAACCCCCAAAACCACACAACAATCTTCAAGCATTATTTGGTGTTAAAACCTAACACAAAGGGGCACCATGCATGAACTGCCCTTGGAGCACCCAATGGGGCCTCTCATGGCATTGCCAGGAGGCGTGTGCCACCAGCTGACATTACTTTGGGCTGCAGAGTTCACTTTGTCTGTGTGAGGTAGTTCTTTGACTATTTCACTTTAACACTCGAGAAAAGAAGTAGAGGGCTTTTTAATGTAATGCAGACTGAGACAAACATGGCCAGAATTGGTTGGACCCAAAACAGCTCTGTAGCCACACTGACAATGGACATAGAGGGGCTGTGCCCATTTGATCGGGGAGGGGTGGGATGAAGTAAGGTAGCATGTAAAACAATTCCAGAACCCAACCCTGGCTGTGCTGTGTTGGGAGTACATGGGACACACAGGCCCTGAGGCCACCACACCCGTCCCCTCCTTTGCATGTGGGAGGACCATCGTTGGTTCCAGAAGTGGCTCAGGGGGGCCCCAGCAGTGTGCAGCTAAGGACTGTGGCCAGCCTTCGCCGGGAGAGCATGGCCTGTGCCTCAGGAAGCCTGTCTTAGGATGAGGAAAGACTGGAAATGGAACACCGGCTCCTAAAGAGCAGATAACCCTGCTCATGACTTAGTAAACTGAGTCTTTTTTTTCTCTTACTTACAACTGAAATCATCCTAATTTTCCGAGACAATGCGGCATCCACACTCACATTCCTTTGATTTGGGCTGGTGAGCTCTAAAAACCTGGGCCTCAGGAAGAACAGTCCCCATAGGGGCCACTCACCAGTACGCGCTCGCTCATGTTCTGGCCAAATACAAATTTGTTGCTGGTGGCGTCGGCACTATTGGTCGAGTTCTCTAAACTGAAAAGAAGATGGACTGTGAATTCAGGGGCAGAACCTGGTGGGTAACAAGAGGCAGCTAAGTTGCCACTGGCCCACTGGGTTCTGTTCTGGGCACAAAGTCCTGGTGATAGAGGTCACCCTGAGAGCTGGGCTGGACAACCCCATAAAACTCAGGTCCTGCCTCAATTGTCCATCAGAGTTCACTGTCCTGGCTCCTCCACAGCTGGGCCAAGTGGGAAAGAAGGAAGGGACTAGGGGGCAACTGGAATTCTGGAGGATTCTGCTCCCTCCCCTCCATCCTGCCCCCTAGGGAAGGACCAGAGACAAGGTAGATGAATGACCTGAGCACTTCTGAGGCTGGACACAGGCCTGACACACATACCTGGAGCTGATATATTGAAGAAAATAGTTGGTTGCGGTTGGCGTTTCTGAACTGGGGTGTCCGGCATTTTCCATGTCAGCTGCTTCAGTGTTTTCATTTATTAACTGGGAAATAGAGATACTATACTCAGAGAACACCACATTCTGGACCTCTACAGCTTGGCCTGGCTGCACAATCCTCCACCGTGTGGCACAGCTCAACGTGCAAATCCTATCAATGTGCATGCAGGCGTTTGTGTGTGAGCACTGGGAGCTGGTGCTATAATCAATTCCAGAACCTTTTGCTTTTAACAGTTAAGGTACAAAAAAAAATTCATAAAGTGTTAACGAACTTTTTCTACCTTGTTTAAAAAAAAATAAAAAATGCACTTAGGTTGGCATCTTGTTAGTGTTTTCATCAACACTTCTGTTCTGAGATCACAGAACACCTATAAATCTGGTGTTTTAAGGGGTTTATTAAGAACATAAGCACTGTTGTTTGAGGGCTTCATTGATGCCAGCTGCCCTGTGGGCTCCATCACAGATGTGACCTAATGCACCTTCTTCTCAGAGGAGCTAGGAGACCACGGCCTGCAGTCACCCTCTGTGGAGAAGGTGGGATGTGACCAAGACCTCAGAGATTACATGAGCTCTGGATCTCTAGGAGACACTGCCCCCGCCCCCATGTCAAGGCAGCATTGCCCTAACTTGAGGAGTAGACTCAACTAGACCTTGCCCCCAGGGCTGGTAGATTTCAAAGCTGTTCCTTCACTTTCCTCTTCCTGGAGGGAGCAGTCCCCAAGGAATGTATCGGGTCTAGTAATAATTAATGTCGTTTTTTTTTTTACATTCGTTTAAAATCTTGCTTGGCGTTGACTTGTATCGACATAACCTTCAAACACGTGGTATCTACAGAACGTGTGAAGTGCAATTAACAAGTTTTGCATGAAAAAGTTTGTGTTTGGTTTGGTTTTTGTTGCAAAACTAGGGCTAAGAAGATGGCAGATGAAGAGCATATTCGGCACTGCATGCTTTACAAGTTCCAATTAGGAAGAAAAGCAAGTGAGGCTGCAAAAAACATCTGTAGTGCTCTTGGTCAAGATGCAGTTAGCGCCAGAAAATGCCAGCGTTGGTTTGAGAAATTTCGCAAGGGAAATTTTTCGTTAGATGACAAGAGTGGTCGAGGCCGTGTGTCCAATTTTGATCAAGGAGCTCTTCAAGCTCTTTTGGTGCAAAATCCTCAAATTACCCAACAAGAGCTTGCGACAACTTTAAATTGTTCACAAAAAACAATTTCCAATCAATTGCGTGCACTTGGCAAAGTCCAAAAGTTTGGAAAATGGGTTCCTCATGAGTTGACCGACAACAACCGTAATCAAAGAGTCACAATTTGCAGTTCGCTCCTCTCTCGTCAAAACCGTTTGCCATTTTTAGAGCAAATTGTTACCAGAGATGAACAATGGGTGCTGTATGTTAATTTGAAAAGGCGGCCTCAATGGTTGGACAAAAATGAGGCTCCGCAGCCCACACCAAAACCTGACTTGCATGTGAAAAAAGTGATGTTGTGTGTTTGGTGGAATTTTAAAGGAATTCTTCATTATGAACTTTTACCATCTACCCAAACCATTACAAGTGCTGTGTATAGTGCCCAATTGGAAAGGTTAGCCCGAGCTTTAAGAGAAAAAAAACCCGCGCTGATTAATCGGAAGGGCGTAATTCTTCACCACGATAACGCACGACAGCATACTGCAAGAATCACTGCTGAAAAACTGTGCCAGTTGGAATGGGAAGTTCTCCCTCAACCTGCATATTCTCCTGATATTGCCCCTTCCGATTACCATTTGTTTCGTTCTTTGCAAAACTTTCTTCTTGGAAAAAAATTTAATAATGAAGAATGCCTCAAAAATGCATTGACCGAATTTTTTGCATCAAAATCACAAGAATTTTACAACAGAGGGATTAAAATGCTTCCTGAGCATTGGGCACAAGTAGTAGAAAACAATGGCAACTATATTGTTGATTAAATTTTGTTGTATTGTTTAAATAAATTCGATTTAAAAAAAGTATTAGAAAACGACATTAATTATTACTAGACCCAATATTTTAGCTAAAGTTATGCGACATCAACACTTATTTTTGTCTCCTGTGCATCTGTGCTTCTCTTGGAAAGTGACACCACAGGAGAACATAAGTGGCATGTTTTCTATGAGATGACTTTTGTTTCCTTATTTCTGAGTCTCTCACCCTCAGCATCATTGGCATTAGGGCTGGATCGTCCTGGGCACTGTGGGGTGTTGATCAGCATCCCTAACCCCTACCCACTTGATGCCAAGAGTACCTACCCCCTAGTGTGACAATCACAGAAATCCCCAGATATGGCCACTGACACTGCCTCTCAGTTCTCTAAAGGAGATTCCTAGCAGGTGAGCTGCTGGAAATGGCAAAGAACATTCCATATCTGTGCCTGCTAAATGCAGTGCTGCTCACTCTAGTCTTTCTGGAGTGCTAGCACACAGTGTGCAGAGCCGAGACCCCTGCCACTGCCAGATGCCCCCATCCCAACTCAGTCCCCAGACTGGACCCACCTGCCTGGGGGCAGCCAAGAGGTGGCAGATACTGATGCTCCTGTGGGAGAGAAAACAATCTTTCCACCTGCCCTACTTTTGAAAATAAGGTGATGGTTCTGTTGGGAGCAATCTGGTCCCGTGGGGAACATTCAGCACTACTTGGGGACATGTGTGGTTGTCACAACTGAGAAGGTATACTCCTGGTGTCTAGAGGGTGGGGACCAAGGATGCTGCTCAACAAACCACAGTGGTGAGCAGGTCAGGTCTCCAACAACTAAACACAATCCAGTCTGAATGCTACTAGAATTGAGATAAAAAAACCCTGAAGAAAACAAAAACCTCACACTGGCTGCCTCTCTGTCCCCTGCAGCCAGGAGCCACCACTCAGTCCCACTGAGGATGGAGGAGTGGCAGGCAGCCTGGGTGGCTGAGCAGCAGAGTATGGGAAACATGCACAACAAGCAGCTGCCGGCTGTGCCAAGAGTCACAGGACCACTTCACAGCACAGCCTCTGTGTCTGCCCCATCCTTCAGAAGCAATTTCTGTTCTGGAACCTGGGAGAGGCATACAAAGATCAATCCCTGAGTTCAACGGCTCACCCAGCCCTCTGAGCACATACCTTAACTCTGTCCCTCAAGTTCTGCCCAAATACAAACGCTTGTTGTGCAGCTTGCTCTTTTTTCTCACAGCTGTCCTCCTCAGAAGTACTGCTAGACTCATTTTTCTGGGGCTCTTTCTCCTAGTTAAACAGAACAATGACAACTGAAAAGAAGGGACACATTAGCTCTGATGAGCAAGGTGAAACATCTTATAGCATAATTGCATGTCCCTTGACGAGGATCTCTGGGCTGAGGTACATTTGAGGAGGGGCTAGAACCAATCGGAAGAGTGAGGTAGGCAGAGCCTGGGACTGGATGGGGCAAACTCTCCGTAGCCAGGAATATGGGGAGGACAGGATAGCGAGATCACTTTTGGGTCTCCCTCTGGTGCAGAACTGTGCAGCTGACTGCCCTGAGGCCCAGCTACCAAAATTTCCATGAAGCATATATTACAAAAACAATTTCTATTTCCAATTCCATTAACTGGTTTGAAGGTGGGGGGGACCTCATAGATGTTTCAAAATAGAATTGTAGATGATCATTTTCACCATTTGAGCCTGAACATCTATGGGAGAGGAGGGGGAGGGAGGCAGAGGATAGAGAACCTCTGGCAGCAACTTATCTGCTGAAGTGGCCGAGGGCAAAGGCACATAGACGCAGACTGGCTTGCGTCTGAGGCACAGTGCAGTATTGCAATTTGGATTCCAAATTTGTCTCTGCCAACCCCAAGAGCAGGTGCTTCATGAAATGACTGTTTCCCAGCTGCTCTGTAGCACTACTGGAAAACAGATGCTTCTGGCCTATATAATTCCAGAACCACAAAGGATGTCTTTTAAAAACAAACAATTTCTGAGCTGACTCCCCAGGCATTTAAAAGAGCACACGTGTATAAATCCCCAGAGTCGCTGGGGTGTGGAAACAGGGAGAGAAGACATTTGTCCCCACAAAATGGTGCAAGGATCTCATTAATGAAAGCCATCTCTCTAGTCCCAGTGGCTCCCCAAGGCTTAAAGGTTAGTGTGCCAACTGGCAGAAACGCTGCCCCAGGACATGTGGAAATGACATGCTGGATTAGGGCAACACAGGACTCTATAGCAGAGCTTTGCTCACAGCATCTCTCTCTCAGAACCATGAAGACACCCCTCCCCTCTCTTGGTGTTCGTCAGCACTGATACTGCTGAGCAAATCCAGAAAGCTTGAACACAAAACAAACTGACATTGCTCAGAGCAGGTAACAGTCTATGTGCTCAGCAAAGCCCAAGAAGTCTCCTGTGAGGTGTGGTCCCTGCCCTGGCACAGACGGACCTCAGGTGCTGGTGCCTCGTCAGGTGGACTTCTCTGTGTGGGGTTGTCGAGTGATGTCGATGTCGCTGTTCCTGTGCAGTCTGCTGGGATACTGAGCCCATTGGTGCTGCTGCTTGGAACTGTGGGGACAAACGGACAGAGTGAGAATTGTGGAGTCAGTGCTAGACCACCTCCAGTGCTTTCTTCTGTCACCATTAGGACCAACAGTATACAATTTCTCCTTTTATAAGAAATGGTCTAGTGTCAATACTAAAAGCAACCAACTCTTAGATTAAAAGAATATTGGGGAAACAATTATGAGTTTTACAAAACAAGTTTTACAAATGATATCTTTATTCTATGCATTTTTCCTTTAAATAGCTGAGATTACATGACACGCACAACTTTAAATCTAGTTTTGACTGTTGAGCATTAGGTAAAAAACTTCCCATGTAATTAAAAACTCTTCAGAAAGATTAACTATTTCCCTCATGTGGGATGTTGCGTGGCTTTTGATGAAGAGTTCTCGAATTATAGGGAAAGATCAAGAGGAAGACAAGAGCTCATTCACATGAAGAAAATTAAGGATTAACCTAAAACCACTGTCTATGTGGATGTAATGAAAATATGGTTTAAGAGTCATGTCTCAAAGTTGGCGAGTAAAATGAAAACATGTGAAAGTTACCCTTTGCGTTTCTGAGACTGCAGGGCTGAGTTCTGCCTGTAAACCTGTAGGGACGGATCTGAACCACTCAGGAAGTGGAGGCAGAATTTATGAGGCCAGGGCGTGCACAAGGCACATTTACACCAGCAGTTAGGCTTGGCCTCCTGGCTTTACTGGGCTCACCAGGAATATAAAGGGCTGCTTTCCCAGCACTCTCTTTATTTCTTTGTGCATTTGGCAGATATGACATGGCTGTCCCAGAAGTGACTTTGTAATATTCTACTCTGCCATGACAGCCTGGGAACCAGGCTGTGTTTCTTACCGGCCTGTGAGAGTGCCTTTGGCTGTGGGGCTTGTAACACTGCAGGGCGAAGCACACTCCGCTGCTGCTCCTTGGGCTTCTGGCTTGGCAGACCTGGGAACAGAGGTCGGTTTGCCCAGCCCTTGAACCTCGTGGGCAGAAATGCAACAGCTCAGACTCTCAGGCACTTTACAGACAAATTAAATCCAGCAATCCATTTCATGTTCCTCACATACTAGACTCTTTAGGAAAACACATCTGTGTGTTTTTTTTAGAATATGTTTTTATTGATTTTTCGATAAGAGGGAGAGGAAGAGAGAGATAGAAACATCAATGATGAGAGAAAATCATTGATTGGCTGCCTCCTGCATGCCCCCTACTGGGGATCGATCCCACAACCTGGACATGTGCCATGACCAGAATCAAACTGGCAACTTCTTGGTTCATGGGTCCATGCTCGACCACTGAACCACACTGGCCAGGTGGGAAGCACATTAAAAAAACAAACCCAAGACACTTTTTCTTTACAGCTCAACATATAGAGTTTGGCTATTGCTATTTTTATAAGTGATTAAATGACATTCCCATGTAACTGATCATGTCTGTGAATTAACCCAGTGAGCACACTAATGCTTCAGGGACGCAAGGGACAGGTGTTCTCAAGTGCTGGGCTCAAGGGTCAAGCACAGACCTGAGGGGAAAGCAGCAAAGCCACAGGCAATGCCCCAGAATTTAGGCTCCTGCTTGGGGTCACAGAAAGGCACCCTCTGTACCTGCTTTTCATTTTTTAAAAAATAAATATATTTTTAATGATTTCAGACAGGAAAGGAGAGGGAGAGAGGGATAGAAACATCAGTGAGAGAATCACTGATTGGCTGCCTCCTGCACGCCCCCTACTGGGGATTGAGCCTATGTCCTTGACCGAAATCAAACCTGGGACCTTTCAGTCCCCAGGCTGACATTCTATTCACTGAGTCAAACCAGCTAGGGCAGCACCTGCTTTTTAAAAATGCCACATTGAGAAAACACCTCTGGCCACGTACAACCAGGGCAAGGACCACAAGAAAACATTTTTGCCCTGCTTGGGCTCCATGTGAACCTGACAGGTCTGGAGAGCGTCGTCACTTGGCCCTGCTCACCAACAGTGTGCTACTGAATTGAGGCCACTCTGCAAATCAGGGTTAACGATATGGTGTGCAGGGGCTAGAATGCTCTGGAGAGACAACAGGAACCAACTGAGCTATCACTGGGCACAGAGCCCAAACTCCCATACCAACTCAAGCTTGTTCCCTTGTCACCTCCACTTCAGGGTAGTGAAGCTCCCTGGTCTGACAGGCTCTTTACAGTGTTTTTCCAGAGCTCATGTGTCAGGTAACAGCCCAGAGTGCACTGGTGGGTTGCCTTGGGCAGCTAGGCAGAAGCCTGGAAGGGTATGAGAAAGCCACTCTCCTCTCCTCCTCCAAGGTGGGCACCTACCTGCACTGGGTGCCTGGCCATGGATCAGCGTTGGTGGCTTCAACCGGAACCCACTGCTCTTTTCCTCTACAAGCACAAGACAAAAGAAAAAAAAAAAAAAAAAAGCCTTCCTGGAGTGGGGTGGGGGAGGCTGGGAGGGAGCAGGGGCAGGAAAGGGTTGTTGTCTGGGCCTCAGTAGTCAGGGGCCTGGAGAACAAGGGAAATGATTTAAAACTGAAACAGAAATGCAGAAGTCCTATCCAACCACCAAGGCTGTTAGGTAGCCTGGGTGAGGAGGAGGGCATTGCAGGAAGTGCGGCTCGGGAACAAGGTGCAGAGAGTGGAAGGCCAGAGGGTGTCAAAGGTGCAAGACAGAAGTGAGGGTGACCACTCTACCCAGGAGCCCTTCCATCTAGAAGGTGAGTGCAAGGCTGGACTTTGCCAGGACCTTGGATGCCATGTTGCACTTGCAGGCCCTGGAGAATGTCAGGGCCACCGAATAAAGGTCTCCAGGGATGCATTTCTCTTTCCTAGAGCATTTGTCAGGAGAGGCCTCTGTACTACCAACAGATGTGTGGGAAATGAGACATGCTTTCTTTGGCAAGAGATCAAGAGTGGCACACAGTGTTCTTGCTCTCTTTCCAGATATGCCTGGAGAGCTTTGTCTCATTGCTTAATGAGAGCACCGGAAGGCCCGGAAGAAGGAAGCAGGGTTGTTTGTCCTGGCCACATGTGAGGAGGCGGGGCCTCCTCAGGACTTGAGTTCAGGATGACAAATACAGGGGTTCTTGGGATAGTCAAAACCTGGTTTCTGCTTAGCTATGCATCTACAGTTCCCTTAATCAATGCAACTTGGTGACTTTGCCCATCTCATAAGGGGTGGGGTGGAAGAGACAGTTTAATGTAATCCTTGGGGGAAAGGATCAGCATAAAAAGCTTTGTGACTCCAACAGGCCAGGTCTGTATCTGGAGAAGCAGAGGGACAAGCAGCATTTTGGGCCACCAGAGGCAGCCTTGCTTTTGTGCTAAGGTCTAACACATGGGGAAAAAACCTTGCCAGATTTCAGGGCACAAGATAATAATACAGAAAGCAGTACGGTATGTCAAAATGAAGTCAATAAAACAATTCCATGTTGTTGGAAAAAAATAAAGACTTAAAGGGAAAGATACCTCAAAAGGTCACATAGACAAATCCAGAGACAGAATGTGGATTCATGGTTGACAGGGGCTCGGAAAGACAGAATGGGGAATGACTTCTAAAAGATATGGAGCTTCTTTTGGGGGTGACTGAAATGTTCTAAAATTGATTACAGTGACAGTTGCACAACTCTGTGGATATATTAAAAACCAACCAATAGTACACTAAATGACAACACAAATGCTTTGTCAGACCACTTTCAGGTAGGAAACAAAATCAAATCAGAATTCTGAGTAAAACAGAAGGGCCCTCTTCCTGTCGACATGTTGGTGAGCTAAATTGCTTTCCTTGGGCAAAAAGAGGATTACAGAAATCTCACTGCTAGTTAGTAAAAAGGACTGGAGCCTGCCAGGCTTCTAGAGACTGTGCTAGTGGGATGGTGTCTCTCCCATAAGAGAGCTCTGGGTCATAAAAACCACACTCGGGGAAAATCAGACAAAACAGGATGCAGAGGAAGACATGCTGCCAGATGTTTCTTTTTAGAAGGAAAATACCGAATTACATTTCCAAGCTTAGGGTTATTCAGAAGATGATTGGCAATATAAAACTAAAAAACTGAGATGAAATTCACAATTTAGAAAACTTCTAAAGCCCTTAGAGCTGGCTCTGCAATGCTTACATTGTAGCTACAGACGGATGGCTACCACTGTGCTCTGTGCAGAGCCAATGCTAACAGCCACTGACCCATGAGGCTGACCTATCCTGATCAGTGTGGGCAGCCGGCCCAGAAATTACTGCTAATGAACATTCACTAACTTTGCATCTGGTGCTAGGTCAACCCTGAAGATGCACAGGAAATTTATGCTGAATGGACTGACAGACAAGGTGTACCACACTTCTGAAGGGGTCAAAGCAGGAGGGTGGTATGCTTACAGGGCAGTAAAAGCCTGGAGGACCCTGTTGCAGTCCTATCTTCACTAAAACAAATGTGATCTCTTCTCGTGGCCTCTTGCAAGATGGTCAGGGTACAATGAAGAGGCATTGCTTGGAGGTCAGAGCCCCACTACACAAGAGATGGCTACACTGGCGGCTTGAGGGTACATGTATGCCTTTGTGAGCTCTCTGGGGGAAGAGGTCTCTCCTCTGGGGTACACTGTGCCCTGCCTCAGGAAGCAAGCAGGCTCCTTTGAGGGTACACTGTGCCCTGCCTCAGGAAGATCCTGAGAGACTTTTAAAAAAAATATATATTTTATTGATTTTTCACAGAGAGGAAGAGAGAGGGACAGGGAGTTAGAAACATCGATGAGAGAGAATCATCGATCAGCTGCCTCTTGCACAACCCCTACTGGGGATGTGCTGGCAACCAAGGTACATGCCCTTGACTGGAATCGGACCCGGGACCTTTCAGTCTGCAGGCCAACGCTCTATCCACTGGTCCCGGCCTGAGAGACTTTTGAGGGAGTTACTGCTCACCATCCAGGGAGGCCCAGATTTTTTTTTTTTAAATATATACTTTATTGATTTATTTTTACAGAGAGGGAGAGAGAGGGATAGAGAGTTAGAAACATCGATGAGAGAGAATCATCCATCAGCTGCCTCTTGCACATCCCCTTGCCCGCATCCAAGGTACATGCCCTTGACCGGAATCGAACCTGGGACCTTTCAGTCCGCACGCCGACGCTCTATCCACTGAGCCAAACCGGTTTCAGCGAGGCCCAGATTTAACAGGAAAATACATCAGTATTCAACCTGATGTATTCCAGCGGTTGGTGGAATCCAAGAGAAGGCAGCCTGATGAGAGCTGGGGTGTGTAGGGGCAGTGCTGGTGCAGGGGGAGAAGAGTGCTTGACCACATATGTGGGGATGGAGCAATGAGTAAATGTATTGAGCACAGAGGGAGTCAGGTTTCTTAGAAAAGGAAGGTAGACATTTAGAGGGGGAGATTAAGATGAATCCTGTTGGCAATGAATTGGAAGTATCCAGATAGAATTGTAGAAATATAGATAAATGTAAGCATATGTATGCATATAGGTATATATTCTTAGTTGTGTGTGTGTGCGCGTTCCCAGCTTCCCAGCTCTGGGCACTGAGAAATCCGGAGAGCAGTGACAGCCCAAATGGTGGTGAGCACACGGAGCACCCAGATTCTGGTTTCTTGAGACCATGCTCTATTAAGAGCTAGCACCCCTTTGAGAAAAAAGGAAAGATGATGAGCCTCGAACCTCTTGTTATGATAGAAAGTAAAGAAAGAATTAAAAGAATGACAGGGGCCTGGGAAAAGGATACAGGACCCTGGTTTGATAGGGATCATTGGCCAAATCTGGAACAATTAAAATGACTGATGATCAAAATAAAATCTGAATGTTAAAATAAATACTAATAACAAATTGCAACCCACTGACTAAAACAGGAATCCGTAAATCCACATTGACACAAACGACTAAGGTTTTGCATCCCCTTCTCTGAGTAAAGTGTGGGAAAGAAAGCTGCTCCTTACAAAATGCCAATTAATAAATGTTGGGGCAATAATGGGGCAGAAAATCTCCATGTGGCCATAATCAGAATAATAATTAATTCAAGCAAGAAAACACTAATGGATGCTAACAAAGGAGGGCAAAATGAGCGATTTCCTTATGTCTCAAAGTATCTCTCCACTGAGCCAAACTCGCTAGATCAACCAAAGGACTTGTATGCATACATATAAGCATAACTAATGGACACAGACAACAGGGGGGTGAGGGCATGAACGGGAGTGGCGTGGTGGTGGTGGGGCAACGAAGGGATAAGGACACATATGTAATACCTTAATCAATAAAGAAAAAATAAAATAAAATTTTAAAAAAAGTATCTCTCCAGAAAATACTAATGACAAAGGGAGAAGAAATAATTTTATAGTGGAGAAATGGGCAGGTTCCACCCTAATCAAGTGATCAAAGGCAACCCGGCCTGCACCGGGAAGAGTACACATCGTGTGCCACCACTGGGGTGCACAGGGAGAGCATGGGTGCACTTTTATGGTATTCCAGTCCCAAATACACAACCTGAGTGGAAACCCCAGGTAATACCAGACACCCACCGACTGAAGGACTTCTCCAAAATAACTGGCCTGTAATCGTCAAGGTCACAAAAGTCAAGGAAAGAATGAGCAACTGTTCCAGATGGAAAGAGACATGTGATTAGAATCTGATGTCTTTGCTCTGAAGAACGCATGGAATCTTCTAGGTAAAGGGATGGAGAAATGCTTTATAAAAATTTCCAATAAGTTTTAGTCCACTTCACCCCAATTAAGCTAAAAAGGCAGGCAAACATATAAGAGACTCACTTTGCAGAGCTGATGTGCAAATCTAATATGACTGGCATGCTGCATCAGGTACAAGGGACCAGGGCTGTATCAGAGCCTCTGCTAAGGCAGACTAAGCTGTCCCCTTTCGCAGGGCTACCTTGCTTTCAATGTTGCTGGATAAAGGTTTGGGGGGAGAGAGGAAGCAAGGCCATCACTCACAGACCTCAGAGGTGATTGTGAGATTCATAATAGATGTGTGTCTTCAGCTATTGATCCCTAGACCAAAACAGACTTGCAAAGGCTAACACTGCCCCCATAACTCAGAACACAACTTGCTAAACCAGTGCCCCAGGTATGACCAAAAGACCTTTAAAAACCAAGCACCTCTTCAGAAGCAGGAATGGGGTCAACTCCAAACAGTCTGCTTTTAGAGTCAGGACAAATTCAACTGAAATGGTGCCATCAAATCAATCCTCAAAGTTATAAAAACGCGCCTCTTCCCTCGGCATTGCTTTCATGCCAGAGTATGAGTTATCTTGCAATGCTTTTGAAGTCGGCAATGAATTTATATAAGGCAGGTTTGGTTACAGAATTCGGGTGATTAAACTTGCTCATTAAATCTTTTATGAGGAGAAACTTGCAGGAATTATTGGGGTTGGTTCTCCTGAGAAAGACCAAAAAAGGCAGGCCCTATGTTCTTCAGAGGGGAGCAAGCTGTTTTCCTTAAAGTTTTAAAGCCGTGATTAAATATATGCATATCTAAACACATTTGAGCAATAATTAATGTGAGAATTTAATACACAGAAAAGGGGTCTGGGAAATTATATTTCACATTAGTTATCTCTGGGATGGTAGTCAGTGGGAAAGGGCAGATTAATTCTATAAGTCTATTTCTAATTTGCCTTTTTAAAAATTAAATGAAAGTATTACTTATGTAAAATTTTGAAAAACAATACACCACTTTCTTTTTTTCAAAAAGGATGTAAAAATCCTTGTAAACAGGCTTACTTACAGAAATAGAAATAAGGGCTTATGAAGCCTCTATCATACTGGATTCCAAATGTACAAGCTAAAGAGTTGGGAAAACATTTAGGAACTGAATCTTGCTTTCAAATTGTACATTGCTATTAAGATGCTATGTTACAATATTAACTGCTTTTTGTCACAGGAAAACCCCCAGTGACTGGCTGTGAAAGGCAAAGGGATGTGAGGGCTCACCTGGTTCTGAGTCAGAATTGCCTGCAGATGGCTCGCAGAAGGTTGATGGCATAAAAACATTGTTTTTTGATACTGTCAGCAAAAAGGTGCAGGCAGGGGAGGGAACAAGAGGAAAAACAGAGTGAGTAGGTGGGGCAGACATGAGGGGTTGATCTCCAAGTCCCACTGTGGTGTAGGAGGTGGGGGTCAACATTATGAAGGCCTTTAGATACTCCAGACTCTCTACAGCAAGAAGAGGGGAGTCTCCAGCCTAATGGCCTCTTGTCTGATGTCTACCAGTTCACTCTGGTCCAGTGTGGTCATCTCTCCTGTCCTCATGCCCCTGGCTTTTCCTTGGCACCCTGGGCCCCTGTGGAGGCAGCCAGGAGAGAATTGGAGCACACCAGATGTTCCAAGCCTTACCCGGGGCTAAGCCTCAGCCCCTGCTCCTTGTCACCCATCCGGGCTCATAAGTTGGCTGCACCTGCCACCTCCACCTGTTTCAGATCTTACTGGCACTGCTCATCTTTCCATTTCCTCTGAGGATTGGGAACTGATTATCTAGACCAGTGGTTGGTAAACTGCGGCTCACGAGCCACATGTGGCTCTTTGGCCCTTTGAGTGTGGCTCTTCCACAAAATACCACGTGTGAGTACACACATACAGTGTGACTGAAACTTCGTGGCCCATGCGCAGAAGTCGGTTTTCGGCCTGGGCGAGTCTATTTTGAAGAAGTGGCATCAGAACACAAAAGGGGCCAAAGAGCCACACGTGGCTTGCGAACTGCGGTTTGCCGACCACTGATCTAGACCAATGCAAGAGAGAGAAAATATTTGGTAGTCCTTTGCTCCTTCAGCCTAGTGCACAATACAAATCACCTCGTCTCTTTTCTGCTACACCTTCCTAATGAGAAAGAGCGGTTCAGCAGTAGACAGTGAATGGAAGGAACACAATCACAGTCAGGAAGTGGATGCTTCCTCATTCCATAGAAACACCTATGCAATAAGCGGGCAGTGGCCCTTAAAAAAGGATGCCCACTTCAAACCATCTGGGCATTTCCTTAATGCCTAGTGGGCAATTGACAGTGCATCCATTCAGGGGAGGGTCTTATGCAGTCATGAAAAACAATGTGTGTTTTTTTTTTATAAAAAAAAGCATTAAGGGAAATAGGAAATCAAGTGTGTTATAGAGACAACCTTGAGAGGACACTCACTTTCTGCACCAACTATTCCTATAAAGTTTGCATTACTTTTATAAGCAGACACAAACTTTCCAAGAGTGTCTTTTTTCCCTACCCTTAAAGTGATATCATTAAGATTCACAGTTATAAATGTTTTATATGAACTTTGCAAGAATGAATTTCAATTTGGGTAACTAGAGATCCTCTCCCAATACACGGTTACAGAGACCAAGATGGGACAATGCCAGAGAGGACCAAGTCCAGATGAGGTGGGGAGGAGAGGGAGCAGCCCTGTGACAGCACTGACCCTATAAGGGAGTTCCCAGGCTCGAGGAGCCCCCACTAAGTAGCCCCAGTGTCTCTCCCTACCCTCGAGCCTACCTCTTTCCTGCACCAGATTTTGCATAAGCTGTGGCTGGTCTTCTGGCCTCTGTGCATGCGCTCAGATCATGCCCAGTCCAGATATTTCTACAGGGGTCCAGCCTGGCCCACCTTCAAGACTCCAAGCCCTTTCCTCAGGGAGCTCAAGGCCGTCCAACACCACAGTGTCTACTGGGACCACTAGCTCACTACGAACCGTGTGTGTGTGTGTGTGTGTGTGTGTGTCTCCTTCTCAACTGGACCACTTAGGCAGAAGGGTCAAGAGAATCCCCCACTTCCCAGCAGCTTTTGGAAGGTGGACATGTGATTAATGATCAGAGGCCCCAACAGGGCTCAGATAGTCCCTTTCTCATTTGAGAGGGACCATTTTTCTTGGTGCATCTTTCTTATCAGTCCACTAGGTCATACTCCTCAAAGTGTCACTTATCCCAGACTGGGATACCTGGTGCGACACCTCTGGTAAGCTCTAACCTTATCATCACAGAGACCAAGTCTCAGATTGATTCTAACTGGATCTGAGCAGGACACAGAGGAGTGTGAGATGTTGGAGGGGGAACAGTGGGCTTATAAACATGGATGCTTTCGCCACTTAATAAAGGTCTGTGGCTGTTACCTGACTGTGAAGGTGGGAATTGGGTTAAAGAGGACGTCCTTTCTCGCTTGACAGGAGGGCAGTAATTTCCATCTTCTCTGTCAGAATCTACAGAAAACAATGAGGAGGAGGAGAAAATTAGGCTCCTTCCATTTTTACAATCAAAGACAGTGAAACGTTTTAGAGGTTTCCTCACCTTCACCACCTTCAGGGCTGGAGCCTCCAGCTGACCTCTGAAACGAGAGCACATGTCAGGGTGGAAGAGAGGACCAAGCTCCCCTCTCACCTAAGCTCACACGCTCTTTAATGAATGGATGCTGAGACACAGTACTGAGGGCCAACTCAGTACTGTGCCACCAAGTCATAAGAGGAACTTTCAGTCTCACGCTCAGAACTCCCCCATGAACCTTCTGCTGACCAGGCCACATGCTAAGGAATTCTCTTAATGACTGACAGTGCACTTACAGCACAAGGATCAGTTTCTTTGTTTCTCCCCAGGTTACAGCTAACTGGTGTATCATCCCCAAATTCAAGCATAATGAAACGTTACCTGGCCAAAACTCATTTGGCCAAGAGCTGAAAAGCGATCCGTTCTCCACTCTGAAGGGCAGCTTTAAAAAATGGCCGCCTAGCCCTAGCCAGTTTGCCTAAGTGGATAGAGCATCAACCTGCTGACTGAAGGGTTTTGGGTTCGATTCCAGTCCAGGGCACGAACTTAGGTTGTAGGCTCAATCCCGGGCCCTAGTCAGGGCATGCTTGGGAGGCAACTAATTGTTGTGTCTCTCTCACATTGATATTTCTCTCTCCACCCCCCTCTACTCTCTCTAAAAATCAATGGAAAAATAATCTTGGATTTAGATTAACAATAAATAAATAAATAAATAAATAAATAAATAAAAACGGTCACCTAATTGTGGTTTCCATTCCTTGCCCTGGCATATTCCACAGTAAGGCACCTTGTTTCAAGGTAGGCTATTGTTTCCAGAGCAACCCAGAACTTTGATGCCTTGGACCAGTCTGCTGCAAAGTGCTCAGGATAGAACAATTCAGTAGACTACAAACCCAGTGAACGATCACACACACACACATACCCTGAGAGTAGGTGGATGAAGAACCTTTCCCTTAACAGCCTTTAGTTTTAGAATGTGAACAACTAACAATTAAGAGGTCTGAAGTAAGTCCCCTCCCAACCCAGGATAACACACAATCCCTCCCGTATGTCCCTTCTCAGGGATTTATGCTTCTTGAGAACTAAACAGCAGACAGCAAATGTGGAAGACTGAACATCATTCCTCCTGGGGCGCTTAAGAAGCAGCAGAGGAACCAGTTTCCTTGGTTTCAGAAAAACCCCTAAGACTCAAGGTTAGCTAAATGATGACCATTTGCCTAGAGGAGCTGAGGGATGAAATATGATGCGTGTGAAAGTGCTTTTCACACGGAAGAGCCCGTGTGGAGGCAGTAACTGTACTAAACCAAACTGTAGACGAGCGAAAACCTGGAGGGACCCTCCTAAAGCTGGGGCAGCTAGCTCTTGTTGGTGACGCGACACCTTCCCTGGTTTTCTCCTGAAGCTGGAACCTGACTCTGCACTAGTGAGAACCTCCTAAAGCCTGGGCAACACACTTTTCTCGTAAACTGCCAGAAAGTATTTCCAGCTCTGAGGACCACATGTTATACATTGTTTTTACAATCTTTTAAAAATGTAAACACCACCTTAGCTGTGGACAAGTGTGTGTAGAATGGCCCATCTTGAAGGATGGTGAGAGGTTGGACAGTAAGAAAAGGATTCCAACCTGGACCTTCCCTCCTGTGTGAGTCAATGACTAGGGTTTGAATCAGAAAAACCAACCTGGGCTTCTTGTCCCAAGAGCCTCCCTGGAAGTGTTTGTGAAGGGAGAGGATGACACTGTCCTCAGGTGTGTCTTGGGGGATTGGAAGCTCAGAGGGGATCATCCATCCAAGCTAGGAACACAAACCCTTCTAACAACAGGGGCTATTCAGTAGTCCTTGGAGCAGATGTGAACACACCACTGGCCCAAGTAGGGCATGAGAGGAGCGGGAGAATGCTCACCCCCCCTCTTCAAGGCTTCTAGATCTAGACAGTTTCTTCCAGCTCTGCCATTGCTTAAGTGGGAACCTTGAGCAAATTATCTCATTTGGAAAACAGGGTGCTGGTGTCTCTCCCACAGGGAAGTGGCCTGGGGCCAACTGTATAAATAGGTGGCACTTGCTCAGTTCAACGTGCCAGTCCTTGCTCTAACTATTCACAGCTCATTTCCACTGGATGTTACACCCTCAGGGACAGGCATGAACAGGAGAGTTGGGATTTGGAATAATGTCCTAGGGGCAGGCAGGAGGTGAGGGACCAGGTTTGAAGACCTTTGGATGGGGGTTCCTGAGCCCAAAGCACTATGATTCAGCAGTGACCGGGGCTGACATCTGATAACAAAGAGCTGTGTTAGAGTCCTGTGGCTCTGTAGGAACAGGATCTACATTTGGAACCTGGATTGACTTTTGGACCTGGAAATGGCCACCCTCTCTGGGCTGTGTAGACACTGCCACCTCACTCACTGATGTCCTCTTTTCCCTCCAATCTCTAAAGTTCCCGTGTGAGAAGAAAACCCCTGGGTCCTCTGGCCTCATTGCTCCCTGTGTCAGGGTCCCCTGCTGGACTTGGAAGTTCCCGGAGGGGACTGGTCCTCAGTACCACCCAGGAGGAGTTTGCTCAGCATTTGCTCAGTGGAAGACTAGGGAGAAGCAGTGAAGACCTGTGTTCCTAAGTTATGCACAGGGCAACAGCCAGTAGCCCAGAAAGTTGTTAGGCCCGAGTTGCCTCAGCCCTGTTTGTTGCAGAGGAGATTCCTCTAGCATCTAAATCTCAATAGGCATCCGTATACAACGTTTCTGTTGCCCGCTGGCCATCTGTGTTAGTTTCCACCTTGAGAATCTTCCAGGGCTCATTCTGCTATGGATTTCTAATTTCATTCCACTGTGTTTATATGGTTTCAATCCTTTCAGATTTACTGAGATTGGTTTTGTGGCCTAGCAAGGGGTCTCCCCTGGAGAACATTCCTCGTGACTGAGGGGACAGTGCACTGTGATGGGGCCTTGATGTGCCCATCCGTCTGGATATTCTACTGATAACTGAGTGTAGTATTGAAGTTTCCAACTGTTATGACTGAATTGTCAATTTCTTCCTTCAGTTCTGCCAATTTTTGCTACATATATTTTGGGACTCTTTTAGTGACACCTAAATTTCTTACCTCTTCCAATGCCACCACAAAGCCTCAAGCATCTGGGCTAAGATTTTGATTGTTGCTAGGAGTCCCTCCTCAGACCAGGAGCCTCTGGGGATTTAGCCTCACCTCTCAGGGTCTAGGACTGCTTACCAGGACCCTTGATCCATCCCGTACCACTTCTCCTTGCCGTATACTCCAACCTGCCTCTCTGCTGTTTTCTGAGTATGTCAGCACTGTCCCGCTTCAATGTTCCTTTGCCATGTGCTACTCTCATGGCCCGGGGTGCCTTTCCTGCAGGTCCACTCACTGTGGCCTCCCTGAGGCCTTTCCCGATCACCTCCAGAATGAACCTATGCTCATGCCTATCTCACTGCCCAGGAAGTGGAGGCAGCTCCCCTTCACCCCACCCTCCAGCCTCTCTTGGGCCTCTACCCTGTTTTGTGTATCACAATCAGAAATGATCTAATGTGTCTGTCTCTAAAACTCTCAAGTATTTATTGCACAAATGGAGTCCATATCCTCCACTATGGCCCCTTAGAAAACCTGCGAAGAAAAGTTGTCTGGCCAAACAAGATTCAGACACTCCTAGATCTCTGACTCCAGGAAACCCTCAAATTCTTGCACCAAGTGTTTTGAAGAACCATCCACAGGCATGAGATGGGTCTCTTGGTCTGGAAAAACCTGGAGGCTAAGGCCTGGGAAGGAAAACACAGGGCTCTTGCACAAGAACCTTTCAAAAACTGCTGGAACCTCCTGTGGGGACTGAAACAGCTGAGAAGCAATGAGGAAACTGACACTGGCAACTCTTCTTAAAAAATTAGTACAAGGAAGCAGGAAGACAGAATGTAAGGTGAAGTAATTTCTGAAGTCATGCCTTTGGATATGCTGACTCTTAGAAATCCTTCATATCTGTCCATGTGAGGAGCAACCTGCCCTACAGCCTGCTGGAGAAGGGCTGAGCTTGCTGTCAGGCAGGAAAAGGTCTGCAGTGTAGCAACTCCCTCTGCCATGTCCCTCTCCCTAAGGCCAACGCCAGCTCCACCATTTCCCTTGGATGATAGCCTGATGGTCTGGATCTCTTCTGTGTCAGAGCAGTCTGGGGGAAACCCTTCATCCCAATCAAGGGAGTGGCTACTCAGGGGTCAGTAGAAAGCAATGCCTGGGACTCCCAACTCCTTGGACCTCAGAAATCTGCAGCCCAAGTTCAGGAATTACCATTACAGACTCATGTGAGGAGGATTCTAGAGCAGATTTTCAGGATCTGTGCTTCTTAGGGAGAACAGAAGCAGGGTGTAGAAGCCCCATTTTCTACTCCACCTCTTTCCACAGTAGAATCCATCTGTGGAAGTCAGAACCCATTTGGGTCATCATGATGAAAATATACCCAACTAACACTAACATAAGGAGGCCGAAGAGAAAGTAGAACAAAGATAATCCTTCAACTGATTTCTCTAGTTTCAGGACAGTATGAATGAAGGAAGCAGGTTCACAAAAATGGAAAAGCCCTCTTAGATGGCAGAGGGGCGGTGGGCTGGTCAGCAGACCAGCCTGCAGAAGAATCAAAGGAGCTGCTCACCATGTGCTTCCGGGTGGCACCGGCAGCCCTCTCCCCTCAGAAGCCACTGGGTCCTCCAGGGAAGCAGTTCATTCTGGGAGGCGTGTAAGACCCTGTCACCAAGTACAAAATCGGGATAATGTCTAACCCAGGATGGGAACATAGGCACGGGAAGCTTCTAATTTTTGTATAAAGGATTAAACTGTAAAAATTACGATTAGATTAAGTATCACTCTCCTCCAAAAAAACATGGCTTTGGTGAGGCTGCCTGCTGTGGCCTTGAGGGAAACAAAGGTGCCAGGCCAGGGAAGGGGATGGAGCGGAGATTATGTCTCAGAGCATGACAGACATAGGTACACAAGAGGTATGCAGAAATGAAAAGCTCTGTTTTCCTGACCTCCCAGAAAAGACCAGAAAGCAAGACTAACTCAGATAAATTCTTTCCAGAAAATACTGGATGCTGTTTGGCTTGCCTGGGCCTCAGTGACTCTGGTCTAGACTGACCAGTTAGAAAGTCCAGCTGGCTGTGGGGTGAAAAATCAAATAAGAGCAGGGCCTACTGCCCTCGTCCAGTAGCTCAGTTGGTTGTAACATTGTCCCATACATCAACAAGTTGCAGGTTTACTTCCCAGTTAGGGCATATACCTAGATTGTGGGTCAGATCCCTAGCCAGAGCATGTATGGGAGGCAACAGATGGATGTTTCTCCCTCACACACATCTTTCTCTCTCTTAAAAAAAATAAAAATAAAAATCAATAGAAACATATTCTTAGGGGAGGTTTTTTTGCTTTTAAAAAAAGAGCAAAGTCTGATTGCATCCTTGTCTTCATATCAACTATGGGCCAATTTTGTGACTGAGGCAACCAGCTCAGAAATTATTCCTAAAAAAGCTCACTGACACAAGAAAAATGTAAGTGGCCTCCAAAGACATAAAGTAGGGTGGGATGGAACAAAAGTCAAATCCTGTGCAGGAGCTGGAAGATGAGGGAAGCTGTCCAGCCAGGGAGCTCGTTCCAGAATCTTTCTAAGCTTCTTGGTGGGTCTCATAAACATAGTTTCAGCACATCAGCGCCTTGGCTTGGAGCTTCAGTCCAGCAGACTTCAGCCAGGATCGGGGCAAGCACGAAGCTGCTCGCTTCTTCTGGATAAGAGAACTGAATCTGAAATGTGGTTTGGGTTTCTTCAAACTGCCTGCTGAGAGCCAGGAAGTCTGATATATAGACTTTTTTCTGGTACTGAGTCTTCCATGGCTAGAGTGCTGATGAGACTGAAAGATGATCAAGGCCCTTTATAACAATTCAGCGAGCCACTATTTGCCATAAAGATTTCATGCTTTATAAACCCCCAGGGATTGAGGCACAGAGAAGAAACTGAGCATGATGGATGAGACCTACTGAGTAACAAGTGGGCGGTTTCCTGAACTCTGGTGTGTTATAGAGCAAGATCCAAATTTGTTCTGATGCAAACACAATGAGTAACCAAGGGGAAAAAATCTCAGCCTGAAAAGCCTGGATCAGATTCCTCTGTCTTGATTTATGCCTTAATTGACCTAAAAACCAAAGTGAACTTTGCTTGAACATGCCCACTCAGCGGGAAAAGCTAACTGACAGGAGCCATTAGCAACCTGTCATGGTTTTCTTTGCAGACAGCCCCACAGAGCAAGCCCTGGGTGAGCCCTCAGAGCTGTCCCCAATTGATATGATGGTGGTGCTGCTGAGGATTTCTGTAGTCACGAATGCTGAAACTGTGTGTGTGTGTGTATGTGTGTGTATGTCAGATGCAGGCCTTCATGGTTGTGCTCTCCATTCATAAACCACTCCCCCAAGTCCTGGCTCCCTCCTATGGTGACTTCACAATCTATCCTGATGTTCCCCGCTAGAACACTTAACCTTGTATTGGCCCGTCTGGGCAATAACTGAATTTCTTGGGATTAAGAGTCTCCAACCCCAAATCCACCAGAATAGAGAAGCCGTGTTCTTCAGAGACCAACATTTCGACTGGCCACAGTGGAAGGTGAGGACCCACCAGTCTTACCACGTGGGCACTAGATGTGAGAGAGGTCTGAAATAGCCCACGTGAATTTGGTAGAGTAGCTGCTATGACAACCTCTGCACCTAACCATCTGCTACTCTCAGTTGAAAACCTCAACCATCCTAGTTAGAGATGCCTCTGTAAGTTGTGTTTTTCAAACTAGGCAGCAGTAGAAGGCTTCAGAGTCTCTCAGGCAGGTCTACTTCAAGGTAGTCTGTTCTTAGTGCCCTGAGAACAGATGACCTATTCGCAAAGGCTGAAGATAAAATAACAATACCTGACTCAGGAAGAGGTCCCAGGAGCTGCTCTGCCCATAACCAAAAAAGTGAACACCTCTTAATTATTGCCCTGCCAGTTCTGGTGTGATGGCTGTGATGCCAGAACACACGGGCAGTAAGTGCCTCCTGGCTGGAGTTGTTACTGTGCTTCTGTGTATACTTCATTATTTCAAATCCACTTCTATGCCATGAAGGACTGCCTCCCCACTGTTCCCCACCCACGATAAAAACGACTTCTTTATCCACCACACATTGATTTCTCCAAATTGTCAAAATATGACTCCAATCTCACCTTGGCTGAACATGACTTCTTCTTGTGCCTATGGTTTGGTGCCTGCAACTGAATTTTAATGGTTTCCTTAAGAACACAGAGTACTGGAGACGTGACATAGAAATTGCTAAATGACTGGGGTTGTGATGCCCTGGAAGGCTGCCTAGCATTCTGTATGGCAGTGGGGTCCTGTTTTCTTGTTAGGACATTTTTCAATGGCATGACATTGGGGGTACCTAGAGGATGGAGTTTGTAATCCTGAATATATGATAATGTTTACCTTTCCCAAATTATTAAACTCCAAACACTCAAGACATTTCTTGTTCTTGAGAGTTCACAATCTTCTCCACCTATTATCTTCAAAAGCCTTCTTAATACAAAGATAAAGAGCTCAGGGGTTCCCTCTGGATTCAAAGAAGAGTCTTCTCTTCTTCCTGCTTTGATTGAAGACAAGCAGCTCACAGCCTCACCACAGTCCAGACACAATCAGTCTTGCAAAGCAATTTGTGTTAGACATCTCCTTTTCCTACAGATTAAGGAAGCCAGAGCTCCTTGTGTTTCTAAGACACTCAATTGGAAGGACCAGATTCAGAGGGAGAAAGAAAAAATGGAAGGAGGGAGAAGGGGTCCAATTTGATCTGAAAAGTTTTACCCACTACTCAATTCCTCTTTTGACCCTTTGTGTCTCTTTCAGGAAACTAGCTTTTTGTTATGGGTGTATGTTTATCCAACTAGAAAAGTCTCCATGTAAAGGAGACCTAATCTTCCCTGACTTTTCAGCAGCAGGAATTAAATAGAGCAGGAGCGATCTTGGACACCTTTTCAGTTATCAGCTGCTTATAATCTAGAGTCTGGATCTGAGGGACCCAGAGGGAAAAGGGCCGGTCTGGGTTGGGACCCCTGGGCCATGGAATGGAGGTGGACTTACCCCTGCCAGTTCTCGTGGAAAAGGAGGAAGCTGGGCTTCAGGAGCGCTGGCTGAAGCGCTAGCAGGGGCAGGAGACTCTAGAGCATGCTCACCAGCTGACTCAGGGTGACCTGGGCCATGGTGGGGAGCCTCAGCCTCCCCCTGAGGCTCCTCTCCCGAATCCGACAAGTCTTTTTGCTCTGCAGAGGACTGGGAGCAAAAAAGACAATTTTCCTTCAATGTAAATAAAGGCTGCAACATGGGGCAGGGGGTGGGGGTGGGGATGGAAGGGCTAGAGATGGCTCCACCTTCAGCAATTCCTGCCCAGGAGGTTGGGCCAAGAAAGCAGGCACAAAGTCAAGTGAATGTGGACTTCCTGCTGTTTGACTTTACAAGGAGTTTTAAGGTGTGCAGGAAGTCTGAACCTTTGTTTTCAAAAGTGCAAGGCCTGGCAAGGAGTTACTGTGCTTATGGGCCATGAGTGAGGAAAAACACTCCTAGTGACAAAAATGGGGACAGTGTCTCTATCAGAGGGGAACAGGGATGATTACAGGTTAATAACACATCTCCTCAAAGATATGGTGAGGGGAGCTGCGCTCAGCACCATTTCTATCTGCTAGGAAAGGTGGGGAAGTAGGCCAGGGACATCACACAGTCAAGCATAGGCGTCGAGGGCCAAAAGCTTCTGCATCTCACTCTAGTTATTTCATCAATTTTCAAATTGTTCTGCTTAAACCTGACATGAAGGAAGAGCTTTCTCATTTCAGTGAGTGCAGGTGTGGGGTGACCAAAGGAGCTGGCGGAGACATGGAAAGCCAGTTTTGTATTGGTGGGAGGGTGGGAGTTTAGCTGGAAGAGGGAGCCCTTTGGCCTGGGAATTCCCCAGGTTCATCCCAAACACCTTGGGCAGGAGCTTATTAGGAAAACAGCCAGGATAAGAGAAAGCTGGCTCCAGAAGTCTTTGTTCTTGAAAGCACACACCCCGGGCATTCTTTGAGCTGTTCTTAGGCTTCTGGGGATTGCTTCAGTGGGCTGGGAGCTCTGTGGCCAAGACTCTTTTCTTGAGAAGTGTGTTATAAAGCTGGTGTCCTGCAACAGATGGGCTCCAATCCCCAAACCTCCTGCATGGCATCGCCCACATGAAGCCATTTCTCTTTGTGAACTAAATGACCATAGGGCTATCCTACCCTGCCTCCCTGCTGTAGCTGCCGTGTTTGTTCTGGGTGTGAACTATCTGAGATCTCTTTAGATAGGTCTATTTTTTAACATGTGAGCCTGTTGGATGAAAGGTGCTATATAAAAAATGAAGTTTCAAACATTCTTAGGAAAGCAATAGCAATACAATGTTAACTCATGCACACATATAAAAAGCCACCCAAATCAACCCTTCCTATCTAGGGAAGATCCACACATGCAAAGGCCTTCCCAAACTGTTCCCTAACCTTTATGGGGCACCAAGGTCAGTTTGTCCACTATTCGGCTGCTACTTTATGGCGAGAAATTTAACACCCGCCAAAAGAAAATTAAACCCAGAGCTTTGTGGAAAACTGCCTATCTCTCTAATTAGAACCAGTTGGATTAAAAAAATCTCTGCTTTTAAATCAGTGCTTCTTTTCAAATGGGAAGTTGAGGTGAACTTAGTATCAATTAATTCATGACATCTGGGCAAAAGTGTATGTAACAATTTACTGAGGATTATGAGCAGGCTCTAGCTTGTAAAAGTAGAAACCAAATGTATACAGTATCTACTGAGCTGATTGCTGATGCTTCTACCTTAGTTGCTTTCTTACTTATTTACAATTCTTCTACTCTCATATATATATTTTTAAAAATTCCTACTTTTAAAACATAAATGTTCAAATGTCTTTATAGCATGGTGAACTCAAGATGACCAAAAAGAAATACAAATGTTGTTCCAGCATTTTCTCCTTGGGCCCAAGTGTTTCTGTTGGACAAGAAAAGTGAGCTCTAAAGAACCAAGACAGGCAAGAAATATTCAAAGTGATGAACAGCAAGAACTTACAACCAAGATTCTCTACCCAGCAGAGCTATCATTCAGAATTGAAGGTCAGATAAAGAACTTCACAGACAAGAAAAAGTTAAAGGAGTTCACCACCACCAAACCAGGATTATATGAAATGCTGAAGGGTATTCTTTAAGAGGAGGAGGAAGAAAAAGGTAAAGATAAAAATTATGAACAACAAAATGACAACAAATAATACCTACCAACAAGTGAATCTAAAAATCAAGTGAATAAAAAATCTGATGAACAGAATGGACTGATGAATATAATAGAATCAGGGACATAGAAAGGGATTGGACTGACAATTTTCAGGGGGAAGAGGGTGTGAGGGATACGGGAAAAGATTGGACAAAAATCTTACACCTATGGATGAAGACAGTGGCAGGGGGTAAGGCCATAGGGTGGGGTGGGGAATCAGGTCGAGGGGAGCTATGGGGGTGAAGGGCGGGGGGAGAGGAACACCAGTAATAATCTGAACAATAAAGATTTAAAATAAAAAAGAACCAAGGTAGGACTGTAGTTTTTCAACATGTTTATTAAAATCAGACATCAGATCCAGACCCTAGATCATATATTCTAAACTATATATGGCTGAGGGTATACTTGTTACACCAACAATAAGCTTCAAAACTAGGTCTAAACATACTATATGGCATTTTCAGCAATACTGGACTTTCTGCTCATAAGCATTTCTGTAACTGCTTTCTGTCTTGTTATCAAATGGGCATTATCTTGCCAGTGCAACCGCAATACCATCCCCCTTCGTATCAACAATATTTGGAAGATAAACTAACTGAAACATTAAAAAAAGTTTTATTGATTTTAGAGAGAGAGGAAGGAGGGAGAAAAATATTGATATGAGAGAGAAATATCAACTTGTTGTCTCAAGTATGCATGGAACTCAAAACCTGGGCAGGTGCCCTAACCGAAAACTGAACAAAAGACCTTTCAGTGCATGGTACAGGGGACAATGCTCAACCAACTAAGCCACACTGGCCAGGGCTGAAAGAAACATTTAATCATCACATACATTAAGACAACCTACTAGCCGAAGCCGGTTTGGCTCAGTGGTAGAGCATCGGTCTGCGGACTGAAGGGTCCCAGGTTCAATTCCGGTCAAGGGCATGTACCTTGGTTGCGGGCACATCCCCGGTAGGGGGTGTGCAGGAGGCAGCTCGTCGATGTTTCTCTCTCATCGACGTTTCTAGCTCTCTATCTCTCTCCCTTCTCTCTGTTAAAAATCAATAAAATATATTAAAAAAAAAAAAAAAGACAACCTACTGAATGAGATTCAAATTCTCTACACATTAAAAAGAAAAAAAAAAAGCTTCCATTCAAGGCAGTTAATAAAAGGTTTTATTTTTGCTTTAAAGGCAACCAATCAATGTGTTTTTTTCTCTCTCTCAGATCAATAAACATATCCTTGGGTGAGGCTTAAAATTTTAAAAACAACCCATTAAGAAAACCACACAAATGCATGTAAACACTAGCATTTTGTGAAGAGCACCACCTTGAGGAAGCCTGGAGACATGGAAGGAAGTAAAGACAATTCCTGTGCGTTAGGACTGGAGTTCAGACTGTAGAAGGCTTTCTCTAACTGGGACAACAGGAGGATTTGACAACTTGATCTGTGTGCCACCAGCAGGCCACTAACACCAATTTGTAGTTTGCTATGAACACACAGATCATCAATGGAACTGATATAAAATGTGTGGCTTTACTACAAAAAAACGAAACAAAACAAAAAACACCTAGCTGGCAATTTATTTGTTTTTAAAATTTCAAATCTTTATTCCAACAATAGCTGGGCCTGTGGTGTGCTCTCCTTTGAAGGGGGTCGGGAGACGTGGGCTCTTTGAAGTACACCCCATTGGATGGTTAGAGACTGTTTACTGACAAGGAAGTTAATGGCCTCACAGTGACAATGAGAATACTTGATCTATGTGGATCAAGAGGTGGCTCAAAAAATAGCTCTAAGGGACATTTGGGTGACAATTAGGACAATTTATATATTGGAAGAGACTTCTGAATGATCATTTTCTTAGGAGTGACAATGGGTTAGGGATGATATAATATAGGAATGACACACTATTCCCTGGGAAACACCTGCACAAGTATTTAGAGAGGAACATCAGATGGGGGCAAATTACAGTTGAGTGCTTTCAGCATTTATGACAAAAATGTTAACAGTAAAGCCAGGTGAAGAATACCTGTGTCTTCAGTACCATTCTTCCATCTTATCTAATAATTTGAAAATTTCAAAATAAAATGTCAAAGAGAAAGAGGATAAACTGTGTGCTCAGAAAAAAGCAGCCCCAACAGTCTTTTTCCAGTTCTGCTTCTGCAGTGTGAGAAGGGAATAGGGGAGAAAGAAAGAATGAAATTGGAAGACTCTCAAACTCTTACTTTGGCAAGAGGTCTTCTGGATGATTCTTGAAGGCCTGCCCTTCTGTCTTTCTTGAAATGGAAGTTAAGAGGAAACAAAGCTACCTGAGTTACTGTTTATTTTCTGCCTTACTCATGAGTTGTCATAACAATAAAGAAAAAAAAGATTCTGTGTCCATTTAGCCACTATCTACTTGACAGCTCAGAAAGCACCCCTAAAGGACAGTCACAAAGGCTTCTCCAGCTTCTGTGTTAAACACACCCTTTCAATGATCTTGGGACAGAAATGGAGAGCGAATTCTGAAGAGCTGCAGATCAGTTATTTTTAGAAGCCCATTAGTGTTGGGCTCTGAGTCAGTATTTTGATAAGAACTACATTTGTACATTTTAAGATGATGACGACCATCTTCCCAGCTACTCTTCTGGTTCAATGTCATCCATTTACATCAACTTTATGAAGGCAATACAAGTAAGTTATCCTCTTAATTACAAAGCAACAGTACCAGAAGGAGCTGAAACCGGTTTGGCTCAGTGGATAGAGCGCGGGCATATGGACTGAGAGGTCCCAGGTTCGATTCCGGTCAAGGGCATGTACCTTGGTTGCGGGCACATCCCCAGTGGGGGGTGTGCAGGAGGCAGCTGATTGAGGTTTCTCTCTCATTGATGTTTCTAGCTGTCTATCCCTCTCCCTTCCTCTGTAAAAATCAATTTAAAAAAAAAGAAAAAAAAGAAGAAAAAAAAAGAACCAGAAGGAAAGGGGAGTGGGAGGAGGTAGAAAAGGATAACAGGGGGACAAATGGTGATAAAAGGAGACTTGCCCTGGAGTAGTAAACATATATAATACAATATACAGATGATGTATTAAAGAATTGTACAACTGAAACTTATATAATTTTATTAACAAATGTCACCCCAATAAATTCAATAAAAAAGTAAAAAAACAACACAACTAACTAAACCAACTGAAAAACCAAAGCAAGAACCACACTGTGAAAACAGTAATAAAACAGGAATTAATTTTAAAAGCATTTTAAATTCAGCCAAACAAATATTACATTTTAGTTTTCCATCTTGCCAGCTGCCCAAAAGTCCTCAGGTTTAAAGAATTATTAACTCCTATTGCTCATTTTAAATTCAGAGTCTGCAAACTTTTTCTGTAAAGGGCCAGAAACTAAATATTTTTGACTTTGCAGGCCATGGGTCTGGGTCCAAATTACTTTACCCTGTTGTTACAATGTGAAATCTGCTTCAGTAACTGTGAAGGGATAGGAGTAGTTATGTACCAATAAAACTTTATTTACAAAAACAAGCAGTGGAGCCAGGCCTTAGTTTGCTGATCCCCGTTTTAAGCTAAAAGTGATTCAAAAGATGGTCTCACTAAAACTCAAAATTCTAGAAAATCCTGACTTAATGGAAAACTTCAGAAGTGACTTTTACCTCTAAAAGAGAAATCAAATACATCCATTTCTAAAAAGCTACAGGGAACACATCAGCCTTTCAGTGACTGACCCTTTTCCAAAGGAGAGATGATTAACCCTTTGCACTCCGAACCATTCTGGACATTGGCTACCAACTACTCGACGCTACTTTGCGGCGGGTGCGTTGAATTAACTCAATTCCCCGTAATCACTAATAAACTGCAATGTCCCCTGAGAGGGGACATCCGAGTGAGATGCTAGAATTCCGATGTCCCCTGAGAGGGGACAGCGGAGTGCAAAGGGTTAAAAACACAGGTAAGTAAGCTGTATGTATGTGTCAGGGCCCAGGGGAGAGGAGACAGCAGAGGTTGATGTATCTTGAAAATACCACCTGGAAAGCCAAAACAAAATGGGAAGAATATTTCCTCAGGTTTGGCTATTCTTTCTTCATCAAGAATTAACAATGGGGGTGTCTAACGTGAGAACAAACCTAGTAGGTAAAACCCTGCCAAAGCTGAAGGCTCCAGTGCAAGGGGTGTGGGTTTAGGGCCCCACTCCCTCCTGTCCTCCTGGTACATAAGCTTTCTTCCTGGCATAGCACCTAAATGTTTTCCAGGAAATTGGGCTGTGCAGAAAGAAAAGTCTGGCTTTTCTTCTCAGACCAAAGGACAAAGTCTACAAAGCAGTAGCTGGACTGCTGGGAGTGCCAAATCACCAGAGTAGCTGACCCAACCTCCAAGCCAGCCACCCTGCTGAGAAACTGGGGATCCACCAGAGCACCTAGACCTGAGCCAATTCTCAAATTCTCTTCTTATCAAGATTGCAAATGGATTTCAGAACACACTTGGTCACTCTGAAATCTTGCTATGGGTATTAAATTATCTGCTATCCTGGGCCATGGGATCATTCATGTTTTTGACAAACAGAGTGAGTCCTCACTTCAGCTTGGGAGGCATCACTACAAAACATCAACTAACTTTGGACGCAATCCCAACCTTCCATACTGATTTATCAGATAAGGATATAAAACCTGTGACTTCAAGACAAACAACTGGCAAAGGTAGGTATGCAACTGATACACCCATCAGGCCTTTGACAAGGTATTTCCAACAATGTGACCAAGACATTTAAAATCTAAGAAGGGGAAGCAACACAACAAAGATGAATAGTAAATATACAAGTAAACTAATAATTATTCTAAATACATTTATGTCTTGTTTGTTGGTTGGGGCCAAAAAATATCTCTAAAATCTTTAAAATCTTAAAAAAAAAAAAAAAAAAAAAAGGTCCTGTTTTTCCTTAACCACCATTGCTCTCTCCTTCTTTCCTCCCTCCCCCCACTTTCTCTCCCACCTTGTCCCTCCTCTCCCTCCTTCTACTTTTTTTCTCCTACTAATTTTCCTAATGTACAGTATTTCTAAATCAAATAATTAGGAATGAGGACAAAGTTTTCTACCACTATTTTTAAAGCAGGGTCTCTGAACCTTTTCCACACACACCTATCTCAACCACTCGCCATGGTAACCTAAAGCCACTGGACCTTTTTCCTCCAAGCTCAATGTAAAGGCTTAAAGGGCAGAAGTATCCTTTGCCATGTGACCTGGGGAGAGATATCTCTAGGAGAAAACAAATGTGAAGACAGAACATACCAGCCCCTTACCTTTTGTCCTTTATCCTTCTGAAACACAAAGACGGGCGGAGCAATGGCAGGTTTTTCTGCAAAAAGAAAAATTGGTGTTTTTCCCCCCAACACTATTTCATATAATAGACAAAACTATAATTATAAGTTAAAAATAAAAAACAAACCCAATATAAAATTAATAACCCCAAAGGACATAAAATCAATTAGAAAATACTTCCATTATGAGGAGGTATGGGTTTCAGTTTGTGACAATGCAACACTTTATAGTAGGATACATGTGCATATTATACACCAATAAAAAGGCTTTAAGACTCACTTAGGCCTGATCAAGGGAGAGCGGTGGGGAGTGTGGCCAGCTGCAAGACATTGGAGGTGACAGCTATTCAGTGCCACCAACTGTGGTTCTGAAGGAATTTGGCTCAGGGAAGTCATATTTGTATATGTTGTTATCTATCTATCTATCTATCTATCTATCTATCTATCTGCAGGCCAGATGATGTCAGGGGGCAACCAGTTTGCAATCTCTGTCCACACAGCTCATGCTTGCTGGCGAACCCTGGCCCACATTCCACCCAAAAAAATAATTTAGGGATTTGCATGTCTGCAGAAGGAAGACTCTCTGGGATGCCCTGTCAGGGCTATGCCACCTATTTTCTCAGGCAACACCATATATCTCCTATCCAGGGGCAGCCAAGAAAGCCTCTGCAGCCAGCTAGGGGACTGTAATCCAGGACCACCTTAACTCATGGGGGAGGCCCCTCATCGTCTTGGGCCTTGGCATGGTGGCTCTGGGAGTGCTCATGAAGCCTGTGGGGTGTGCTTAGGGTCTCCTTCAGCATCCAAGGGCTGAGAGAGGAGGGAGGCCAGGGGAATCATGAATTTGAGGAGCATCTGCACAGTCCTGCTGTCAGAGTCTCCAATCATAGGAAGCTTAGATTAACCAGGAACCTACATTCACACAGCTTTGCCCCAGCAGGACTGCTACGTAGAAGGGGGACACGGTTCACAGTTGATAAAAGTGCTCCCATAGGGAGCTGGTAGAGTGTTTGGTCTAGACTCTAGAGTGTCAGGGAAACATCCCTGAGATGAGGGTGCTGAAGTCTCAAGGAGAAGAGCCTGGCAGGGAGAGTGGCAGGTGTGAAGGCATGGAGCCCAGGGTCAGATGGTGGCCACTGGCAAGGATTTGGGAAGTGGTGCAAAAGGAGTGGGGGAGACACAGAGGTTGGTTCAGTTTAAAATGAGAACAGTGTGGGGAAGAGGCCATGTGGAGAGACCAGTTAGGTGACAGTGATTACCCACAATAAAAAAGAGGTGAAGAGGAAGTTTGAGGAGGAAAAAGGACAAGACCGAGACAAAAATCAAAGAAATCCTGTTCCACTCCCCATCTCTCCAAACACCCACTTCTTGGAGAAGCAGGACAGACACCAGTCTTCACTTTGAGGCAAAGGTCTACTGAGGGTGACCATTCCCTCTGCCGCGCTCACTGAAGCTGCACCATAACCGAGTAAGATTCACCACAACAGTTCTCATTGTGCACAGCCCACAATGGGCATGGGTGAATGACATGTGTGAGAACAGAATGCTAAAGGGAGGAGAGTAAGGGTCACCATCAAGGTTTCCATGCTACCCTAAGCAGCCATCTCCTGGCATAGTGCATAGCTGCTGCCTGACAAACCAGAATGGATGCATGAATGAATGAGTGAACAGGCATCTGGTAGACAATAAATGACGGCAAAGACATGCTGGAGGGACTCTGGGGATGGCAGCAGCTTATTTACACTTGTCTACTATGGGAAATCCCAGAGGCGATCTGGTGCTGCCCTATAAACCACAAACCCAGCATCAGGGGTTGGAGGTCCAGGCCCCAGCCTCTCTTCTGTCTTCAACTCCTGCCCAGCAACAAGGCACTGAGGTGCACAGGAAGCAGCCAGGGTTTTGGCCAGCCCAGCACCCCCAACCCCTCATTTCCTTTAGGGAAGCACCCCTTCCCCACCTGTTTCAGATGGAGCCTAGTCCTGGGTCCAGGCCTAAGGAGTACTGCATGCCCTGATCCCAGGGGACACTGTGACTCTCAAATAAGGCCAGGCTGCTGATGGTGAATGAGATTCAGGTCCAGAAATTTTGTTGGAGCTATTGGGGAATGGGAGCTCTCTCTGCTGAGCTGGTGGGAGGTAACCCTGGTGCTGCCACCAGCTGCCTGTCATCAAAAGGGACCTTAGACTAGAGCCAATCCAGCCGGAAGCAGGGGAGGAAACCGAATCCCATCGCTGGAGGCCCAGGGCCTTGCTGGCTCACAGCTAACTCCACCCCCAAGACTTTTCAGCTAAGTCAACAGAAGCTGGTTTTTGTGTAAGGCACTCTGAGCTTGATTTCTGCCCCTTGTCTCCAACAGCCTCCAGCCTGAGAGGCTGCAGACTTCACTAAACTCACATTATACTTTCTAGAAGAAACCTTGGACTGGCCTCACAGCAGGAACCAACAGCGGATTCACTATGTATTTATGGGTTTATGGTCTATCTCCCCTACTAAGACTGCCTGATTCCACCTCCCTGTCCTGCGGTGTGAGAACATTACTTGGCAACCAGAAGGGATTCAACAAATATCTGCTGAAGGGATGAGCAAGGGGGGAGGGCACTACAGAAAATGACTGCCAGGCTAGTAAGAAAGGACTAAATGAAGAGAGAACCATTTGGACAGCAGAAGAAGAACTTTCTGATCTGCAGGCACATAGGAGGGTAATTGTGGACCACCTGGGATGGGACAGGACCATGTGGTAGGGTCTGGGAGAGGTCCCATCTAAAGAAGGAACAATTCTGTACTGCAACTGGCATGTTGCTAAGCTGGGGCAGAGGGAGGTTATGGAGGGGACCACGGGGTCTGACCTCTGAAATCAGCCATCCAGAGAATAGGAACACCAGCTGAGATCCAAACAGATCCACCCTTGTCACTACCATCTCAGTTCAGACCTTTTCTGTCTCTACCTTCATCCGTTTAAGTATGGCTTTTGCAGAGCAGCCAGAACCATTGGTGTGAAACACATGCCTAAAACTCTGCAGTGCCCTCCCAGACTAGGGTTGGAGCTCCTTCAAACAGGCCATCCCCACCTGACCTTTACTGTGGCACTGTTCCTTGTACACCCCATGCTTCTGTCACATTTCTGGATTTCTTACTGGTTTAGTCCCTCCACCTAGTGTTCCCTTAGTCAATACTCATTCATGTACAGATACCATCTTATTCAGGGAGCCCCTAGTTTGAACTGTGCTCCCAAAATATCCTGCATTGATCCTACCTAGGCTACTTGTCAGGGAGACTGGGAGACGACTGACACAGCATCCAAAACAGCTCTGCACCCCTAGCCTTGTCACCCAATGTACCTCATATTAAGAATCATCCAATAAAAGTTTGACTTAAACTCTCTTTGTACTTCTTCACGTGCATAACACTAGCTACTATGTAATCACAAATATCTATTAAACCCTTATTCCATGCCAGGCATGATGGGAAAAATGGGAACAAGCTGGGGGCAGAAAACTTTAGGGTAGAACACCCAATTTAAAGGGAGTGTGTTTGTGTACAAGGCCTGGAGCTTGCATGGGTTATTTATCTGCTCCCTGGCAGCGTCTTCCCAAGAATACAAACTCTGCATGGAGGCCTCTGTTGTGTTCACCTCCATATCTTTGGAGCCACACATGAAATATATGCTCAATAAGCAGTTACAGAGTAAATAAAATGACTTTCATTGCCAGGGCTACAACTGGGTAAGCGGCAAGTGCGTTGGCAGCCCACCTGGGGCCCCCACTGAGGGTAGGTTTGGCAGTCATGACAAACACAACACTACTAAAATGTAACAATGAACTTCAGCCAGTCAGTTCTCCACCAAACACACAAAGCACCAGAGTTACACACATTTCATTTCCACTCAGCTCCAATAAGGTCAGAAGTCCATAAATTGCAAATTAGTACTGATAGTACAAAATAACGATATCACCCCTTCCAAGTAGGATGGTTCTGTACTTATCAGAGTAGTCACAGCTGGTTTTTTAAAACTGTCCCCTATCACCAAACAGTTTCAGGTTGTCAAGCAATGAGGCTTCTATGATCTACTTGAACTCTTAGTCCAGACACCAGAAATTTCTAGAGACCCAGGCCACCACAAAGACCAAGCTATTACAATGTTAATCACATGCAGACTATTCAATCCAGATTCTGCCAACCAGGTGTTTTTGTCGGTGAGATGCTCCCTGATTAAATTAGTTTGTAAAAAAAGCAGCTCGTCCAGAGCATTAGTTTGACACATCAGCACAGGAAGGGCTAAGAAAATAAAGGGTGGCCCTAGCCAGTTTGATTCAGTGGATAGACTATAGCATCGGCCTGTGGACTGAAGATTCCAGAGTTCGATTCCAGTCAAGGGCATGTATCTCGTATCTTGGTTGTAGGGTCCTCCATGGCGTGGGCCTACGTGCAGGAGGCAACCAATTGATATGTTTCTCTCACATTGATATTTCTCTCTGTTTTTTTCTCTTTCTACTACTCTCTCTAAAAATCAATGGAGAAATATCCTTGGGCGAGAGAGAGGAAAAAAAAAAAGCCCTAGCTGGTTTGGCTCAGTGGGTAGGACGTCAGCCTGTGAACTGAAGGGTCCCAGATTCGATTCTGGTCAAGGGCACATGACTTGGTTGTAGGCTCAATCCCCAGTAGGGAGCATGGAGGAGACAGCCAATCAATGAGTCTCTCATCATTGATGTTTCTATCTCTCTATACCTCTCCCTTCCTCTTGGAAATCAATAAAAAATTATTAAAATAAAAGAAAACCAACAATGCCCTGGCTGGTGTGCATAGTGGTTAGAGCTTTGGCTCAGGAACAGAAGGGTCACAGGTTTGATCCCCAGCTAGGTACCATGCAGGAGGCAACCAACCAATCACCTTTGTGTATCTGTCTCTCTGTCTGTCTGTCTCTCCTCTCCTCCCTCTCTGCTTGCCTCCTTCTCTTCCACTTTCTATAAAAAAGAAATGAATGAAAAAAATATCCTCGGGTGAGGAATAACAAAAAAGAGAAAGAAAACAGTAAAGAAGT